ATCGTGAAATATACATGCTAATATAAGAAAAATATATTAACAAATAACAATTCTTCACCCAAAGAGTCGAGAGCCGTACATAATTAAAATAATATATTTTATAAATAAGATTTTTTTTATAACAATAAATAAGATATTTTTTTATAATAATAAATAAGATATTTTTATAATAAAAACCATTCATTTAAGGGTAATAATATCATTTTATACATGTTCAAAAAAATATCATTTTATATATATTACTTGTTTTATTTGACCAAATTATCTCATAACATTACTTTGTTTCCAATCAACCAGTTGAACTGTATAATATTTATTTTCTATTTATTGTATTCGTACATAATAATTATTTTATTAATGTTATGTTTAATTTGTCAGTTTGCTTAATTGTTCAAAACAAAATATCCAAATTTATTAATCAATTTTTTTCTTTAATCGTTAATCAAACCGTAATATTTCTAAATTTTTAATTGAATCGAACTAAGCTCGATTAATTCGATTAATCAAACTAACAAAAATTTATAAATAATACTCTTTTTGTCCCATAAAAATTGCACATGCTTTTTAAACTTTAATTCATTATTATTTAAAATTTATTATTGATAAAAATATAAAAAAATATATATATCTAAAAAACCTTCAACCAAATAATTTGTAAATATACATTTTATAAAATTTAATTATTTCAAATAATTAAAATATTCATATTCAAATTTTAAAAATTTAACTTTGAAATAATAAATAAAGGGGGGTTAGCTCGTCTTTTCAAACCACAATAACAAGGAAGAACCGTGGATACAGCACAGCGTTTTGATGTGTTTCTTATTTATCTGTGGGCTGTGACCACGTCTCTATGAACTTCAACCCATCAAATCGAGGCGCGAATTTCTCTGTTTCGACGCCGTACGATTCCTCGACGCTACGTTCTGGGAACTCCTAAATAATCATCGTTCAATGTCAAGATCAAGATCCAGAATTTTATTCCTTAATAGATTTAAAAGATAAATCTAGATCCAGATAGAAAGATACTTAACTAAAAGAATTAGCAGTCAAAATCTCACAGCAAAGTAGCAGCAAAGCAAAAAATGGATGATGACTTGGAAAGAGCGCATTCCACTTCACACAGCTCTAGAATTTTCCATCTTTATTTAAGGCCATAAATTTAATCCTTGGTATGTGAAACTTTCATGTTTTTTCAACAAAATTCGCACATTTTAATATTATTTACCCAAATATTCCTTTTTTATTATTAAAAAACAGCAATAAATCGAAATTAAACTATGAAAGCAGATTCCCTAAATACTCCTTTATAACATCAGAGTGGTTATAAAAAAAAATACAGAAAATGGAAATTATGATTTCACCATCACAATCGATCACGAAAACGACGGGAATTACAAAACGAAACAGAAAAAAGGGGACTCCAATCTCCCACATCATATTCGAATTGGGGGGTTAGCTCGTCTTTTCAAACCACAATAAAAGGAAGAAACCGTGGATACAGCACAGCGTTTTGATGTGTTTCTTATTTTATCTGTGGGCTGTGACCAACGTCTCTATGAACTTCAACCCATCAAATCGGGCGCGAATTTCTCTGTTTCAGACGCCGTACGATTCCTCGACGCTACGTTCTGGAACTCCTAAATAATCATCGTTCAATGTCAAGATCAAGATCCAGAATTTTTATTCCTTAATAAGATTTAAAAGATAAATCTAGATCCAGATAGAAAGATACTTAAACTAAAAGAATTAAGCAGTCAAAATCTCACAGCAAAGTATGCAGCAAAGCAAATAAAATGAAAGAAAAAGCATTCATTAGACATTGGAGTGGGGAGAATAATAAAACCAATACGAAGAAAAGAGAGGAAGCATTGGTAAAAAAAGTATAAAAAAAACCTTGTTGGAGGAGATCGGAGAAAGAACATGTTGGACTCCAGTGGATGAAGATGAAGTGAGAGCCACTGTGGAAGCAGCGATCACAGTCGCAACAAGAGGTCCAGATCCCTTCATTTTCCCGAATCCTTTCTATTTCAGCGAACAAAACTCAGATCGAGAGTGATTACTCGCGAAGCTCCGGTGAGAAATGTGTGAAATCCGACGAACTTCGCCGGGTCCAGATCGCCAGCTTTCCCCTCCTTTCCCTTTTCTTCCCTTGCATAAATACATACCAATACCAACTTTCCTTAAAGATGGATCCCTTATATTTTGTCCGAGTACGCCACAAATTCCCAGGTCCTTCAATATTTGCCAGCTTGGCATAAGGAAAGTGACGGTGGCAGGTGATTCATATTTTGATATAAAAGGGCTCTACTAGTGTACCCCTCGAAATAAAGTTTTAGTTTTTAAATAATGACTTGATAAAAAAATATCTTAAAAAATATTTTATCGTATAATTTTTTTTAATAAAACTAGGTGTTTATTTTTTTTTATATTTTTAAGTATTTATTGTTAAATTTTTTTTAAGTAATATGTGTCATAAATAAGATTTTTTTAAATAAGTAAATATTTTATTTTAAAAAAAATTTTAATATGACAAATGTCATTTAATAGTTTTTTTTAACGTTATATATCTAAAAATGTAATGAAAAAAACTTGATGTATTTATTTTTAACGAAAAATTCTTTAAGTCAAAAAATTAATATTGAGTATAGTTTATACACTTATTTTTATATTAAATCTTAAATAATTGAAATTTATTTAAGTTAAAACGGCGTAAGAGGTACTTTAAAAAAAATTAAAGTTCTCGCATTATTTTTTTAACGTGACCTAATTTCTAAAATAAATATAATGTGATTATTTGATTAATATTAAGATCACGTTGATTTTTTCAAAAAATGTAAGGATCTTTGATGTATTTTTACCTTTATTTAAACTGTGCGTTGATAGTGGAGAAAGTTAATGGGATCTAAACTATAGATCCTATAGGAGAGCAGGGAGATGAATTTTGAAATCTCGGTGCTTGTTGTTTGCCTAAGCTCGATGCCGTTCGAGTCTGACTCAGTCAGTTCATCGCTCTTTCTCTCTCTATTTACCTAGTGCTCCGTGTACAGTCCTCGCTTGTTCAATTCGGATTTCCGGAATCGAGATAGGTTACTTTCCATAATTAATTTAAGTAATAATATCATTTTTATTATTTAATTTAATATTTTTGAAATATTTTATTTATATTTTATACTCGATACTTAATAATATTTTTTGACAAATTTATTAGAATGATATAATGGAAAATGTATTTGTTTGTAAGGGCAGTGTAGATATTGTTTTTTAAAATATAGTGAATGTTATAGTATCAATTAAAAATATGTAGATTAATTGGTGTGTTTGAAAGACATATGAAAGATACGACGTCTTCCCACATTGATTTATGTGTTTGTTTTCCATCAGAAGCGTATCTAGGCCTAGGCCTATTGAAGTGGTTCATTTATTATTAAGTTTATATTTTGCTCATTTAACTATTATTTATTTTAAATTATATTTAATGTTATATTTTGGTTATGTTTTAATCTTTCATCTTTAAAAAAATTAAGTGATATTGATGTATCATCATAAGATAATATAATATCATGATTGAAAAATAATTAAAAAATATCATGTTAATATTCTTGTTATTTTTTAAAGGTAAGTGGTATATATATATATATATGAATTTTCAGATAAAATTTTTATTATGTTTATATTAGCCTAACCTATAAAATTTATCTGGATTGGCCATTGTCTTCTTCAACTTCCTGAGCTCCATCAATGGTGTCCACTAACTCTCCCTCATTCTGCTCCAACAACGACCTAAGTAAATTAACCTTCAATCAGCTCAAAAACACCAACAACATCACCATTTTTGCATCAGAGGTTGAGAGAATACTAGATCTTCCATGCGTCTTTATGAAGACGTCGTATAGTTCATGCATTTCTCCAACTTACTATAAGAACTATCTTATTTGAGAGTACAAGGCTTTTAACCTTGTGGTCGTGGGATCGAGTCCCACTGAGTGCAATTCATAACGGAGGTCTTCCACGAAAGCTGCTCTCAACCTGACGTTGGAACAACCTACTACCCTACCTCCCCTTACCACATTACATATGAGAATAGGATCAGCTAATTTTTTTTTTATTTGAGAAAATAAAGTTTGTTACTATAATTTATAATTCCTTTCCATATTAATCCCCTTATATTAGTATTACCATCAAAGTCAAAAAGTACTGCCTTTAAATATTCCATGTCCCCAACAACTGAGTCGCACCTTGCAAATGCCAAATAGCAATTGTGAGGGTTGTCACATTCTGCGTTGATACGGCCTGCAATTCGGGACCCATCGATATGCTGCCTATATGGACTTCCAATTTTCTTTTAAAAGTATCCAATGCATAGATGCAGGACGTTCGCCATCTCTTGGAGCAATTGATAAAATATGTAAATATCAAGGATTAAATGTGTTATTATACCGACTGAAGTCGAAAGTTATCATATCAACGATTATGAGAACTTATAAAAAATGGATGGCTGCTTTAGTTAATGAAATTAAGACCGTAGAATGTGAGAGATATCTGCACAAACAATCTGAAATATGTTTAATATTTTAAAAAGATTATTTTTTAATAGACTTTTCAAATAACTTTCAAAATTAAGTTGAAGTCGAGTTTAATAATTTTAAAAGCGAGTTTTTGAGTCGAGTTGAGCTTAATGATACTCGAGCTCCACTCATCTCATTTACAACCCTAATCATGATGTAACCATACATGAACTATGAACAATCTGCGGCATACACCGTCTTCTAACAACCCTTCAGATTGATCAATAAGCTTTCACTACCTGCTCATGTCAAACATCGTTAAGCTACATCAAAACTTCAAAAGTAACACTTCCTCAGTTCCTCTGTTCTACGAACAACCCGATATTGGACCGCAACTCGACGACAGTTGGTAGAACATTGTTGCAAAAAACGGGGCAAACGGTGTTTGTTTGACGCAAAGCATAGATGGAACATTCAAAAGAATCTTACTAACCAGGTTAGTCAATAAGGTTTCAGAAGCTTGTATGCCAGATTGCTTCATCGCCCTCCCCGCACCGCTGATGCACCTCCTTCATTCTCTCCACGGACTTGCAAATGCCGCTGCAGCTCCAATCGAATGATGCACCACACGGATTCCCTGCTTGAGCATTCCATTCGCAATCTATCAAACAAATTTAATCATTGTCATGAAAAGATCATTTCCATACACTCTCATTGGCAGGAGACAAACAAGACTAGAGATTAAAACCCAGCACGCTGCTACGGAGATTCAACTCTATCTCACCCAGGAGAGTTCCACAACAGAGGCTTCGTTCATCAATATGCTCAACATCAAGACCAATAAACCAGGAACCTAAAGACACGTCTTCGTTTGCATATCTATGAAGTACGTGCCTACAAAGAAAATAAACATATAGTAAAAGATATCATGAAAGAAAATAGCATATAGAAACGATAGTACCGAAAAAAGAGGATTTACCGATTGACGGATATGTACTTGGCCAAGTCCCTGGAAACTGCATATAATTGTCCAGTGGCATGCCTAAAGTACTTGTTTCCCTCCTCGCCAAATTTCCAAAATTCTGGCTCATGGTATTTGACCCCTCTGTACACAAACAAGAAATAAGTATGGTGGGGAAAAAATGATCATTGGAAGAAAAAAATTCATCTTTACTTCTGTGCTAGAACAGGCCCAGACTTCATGCAACCCATATAGACACGTGGTTTCGATCTGTGACGGGCCAATGTGGAACCCACCATACCTGTAGAATAATCCATATCAATATAGTAACCCTGATAGGCTGATACAGGTATGTTCACGAGGAAGAAATTAAGGTGTTGTAAAACTGAAAGCCGGATCACTAACCCAGATTTACGTGTACATCGTCGTCGACTTTAATATAGAAGTCCGCATCCCACTTAGCAACAACTGTGGAGAAGTATATTTGGGTTTTCGATGATAACTCATGGTAACCTTCTATGTGATTCTGCAAAAAAAAAAAAAAGTGAGACAGAGCTCTAGTTTCAAACTACGAAATCCTGTTTCAATGGTCAAACCATAATGTAACTATCTAAACAATCTTACTAAGAGTGCTCATCTTTTTCAAGATAATCTTTCTAGAACTGCTTCAAATATTTTATAAGACAAGAACAAGGAAAAGCACACAGAAGCCTTAAAACATGGGTCGGGCGTGAAATGAGACTAGAGACGAGGTACCGGTGACTACTTAAGCCGGCTATATTTTCACCCCAAACTACTCGAGGAACTAGATTAACTTTTCTCCTCCATTTGACCAAGCTTAGAACCGTAATCTAGTTATACAAATGCATCTTTAAAATTATAAATATTGAGCTATTCTCTTTGCCGTGCATTGCACACCAAAAACAGAGAAGATAATTCATGAACTTGGTCCAAGGAAAGTAAGCACGGGCATACCAGGCGCAAAAAATCCTTGTGCTGCTCTTCTTCAGCATCAATGGCACGATCCAAAACACCGCCTGGGGTTGCACTGAGAACCACAAATACATCTTTAATCCAAATACCATAATGTTAAAGCTAAATGCTCCAAACTTTCAATTAAATTTACCTGTGACCTATGACAAATCGCATTACAATTCCCTTCTCTTTCTCCAACCTCTTTAATCCTTCCCCTGAGAACAATAAACATTAAAGAATAAATAATCAACTAGATCCAAGAGAATGTCCAGTAGAATGCCAAAAAGTACTGAATAAAACCTTGAGGCATCCAAGTTTCCCTGACCGAGTCCCTCCGTCTCCTACTGCTGAATGCTGTTATAATTCCCATAACAAAGAAAAGTTTCGGGCGTTCCTTCAAGTTTTCGATTCCTGATTTTGTAACCATTGGAGATCCTTCACCACTATCCGTTTTGCCGGCTCTAGCAGCAGCTAGCTGAACCTCCAATGAGGAGATTGTTTTGTCTAATGTCCTGAAAGTATTTATCATGTGGAACCCTCAAAGTTCTACACAAAATTTAGACATTTAAGGGTAACTTTGGGCAGAATCATCCAGCAAGACAGAAGCTTACATAATTACATCATGAGTTTCGGAAACTCGCCAAAGAATATTACCTTCCTGGACTGAAGTATCCTGTTGTATGTAATATACACAAACTCATCAAGATTCTTGGTATTCAGGGTAGCTTATGACAATTTTATACCCTTAAAAAACTTGCCTTATCGCAATTAACTAAGGGGTGAACTTCTTTTCTCTGATGTTTTTGTACAGAAGAAGCCTCATCAATTTTGACTAGATCGGAATCAGTCCAAAATCTGTAAAAACATAAAAAACCATGCACCATTAGTAATGAACCTTTCACTGTAGACTGAACTAAAGAGACAAATCCTTTTAAGAAACAACAGCATTAAATCGAGAAACCTAAGAGCCAAATCTATTCATATAGAGTCATTTTGCTGAATAATTCTGCATCAAATTAACAAGGTCCTTCCAAATAAACATACAGTAACAAGATGTAAGGAAAATGAAACACTAGCCAAAGCTTCAAAATTTTCAAAACCCCCACATTGAAAACAGAAAATACTTGCGATTTGTTCATCCAAAACAAGATCTTGATCATCCAAAGTCCACTCGGGTAAAATGGAGCAAAAAGAACCTGTTGACAACAAGTACACCCAATAAGAAGCTAGCAATGCAAAAGAAAGAAACCCATCTGGTGGAAACTCCATTGCCGGGCCTTTGTGTTCTGCTCAAACCCATTGCCAAAATCCGAAAGAGCTTCAGCCTTAAGGAAGCTTCCTTTTTTCCTTTTTCCGCCCCTTTTCTTTCCTCTCACAACTTTTTCAGTGTCAGAGAGAAGAACACATCAAGAGAGAAAGGGAAATGCTTAACAGCAACAGGCTTTAAGAACAAAATAATTCCTGGAACTGAACATTAATCTGATTAATTCTAATCGATTTACATTGTACACTTTACTACTATGAGTCTCTAAATAGGATTTTTTGTATACAGTTTTGAGATTTTAATCCTTCATTCCTACATATATTTTAATTGATAATTATTTGTAGATTAATTAGTTAATTTAAATTAAATACTATAGATACATATTAAATAATAATTCTTCCAACCTAATTTTTTTTATCTATAGTTAGGGGTGAGCGTTCGATCGAGTTGAGTCAAAAAATTTCCAGTTATTCGAGTTAACGAGTCTTATTTCATAATTCGGAGTTGACTAGAGATTTTTTTCGAGTCGAGTCAAAATTTTAAGTTTCTATTTAAATTTAATTATAAATATTTACAATATTATGACATTATTTGATTCAAATTTAAAGTGTATTTTATAACCATATACAATACATATATATTTTTTCATATGTGATTTACATATATCATACAAATCGAGAGACTCGATTCAAACTTTGACTCAAACTTAAAAATTAATCTACAAATTACTAAACATTTTGAGTTATTTGAGTTGTGTTTTACAACTCGATTAGAAATTGAATTTTTTCGAGTCGAAAAAATTGATTTTTTGAGTCGAGTTTTGCTCACCCCTATCTATTACAATTCAAATTCTTACCTTCAAATTTTTATTTAATTTTTAATAACAAATTTATTCTTATAATAGTTCTTCTTTATATGGGTAAATAATGCAAATGGTCTTCTGATCATAGGGTAATGTTTTATTAAGTTCCTCGATCATTAAAAGTTACAAGATGATCCTTCGACTATGGAATGTTGCTTTGTTGAGTCACTCGACTATTAAAAGTTACAAGATCATTTGACTATTTATTATGTTCTAGACTCGTTCCTTTCCGTTAAAAAAATGATAATTGTTTAAATTGGACATTAACATCATGATTGAGATATGATAGTCATTTGAGATTTTAGAATCAAATTTTATCATATCACAGTCAACAAGTTAACGTTCGTCTTAGAATATCGTCTTTTTTTAACAGGAAAAGACGAGTTTGGAACATAATGAATAGTCGGGTGATCATTTTGTAACTTTTAACAGTCTGGTGACTCAACAAAACAACATTCTATAGTCGAATGACCATTTTATAAGTTTTAGTAATCGAAGGACTTAATAAAACAGTACCCTATAATCGGGGATCATTTATGTTTTTTACCGTATATTTTGATAAACATTTTTAAATCCATATAACATTTTAATTTTCTTTGTATATTATTGGGACATTGGTCATTCAATATAATAAGTCCCGCAAGCTAAACTAATTGACATGGTCATATTAGAATTTAGGGGCTCGATACGGTTGTTTGTCTCTACTCCATTATTTTAATCATTATATTTATTTGATTGATGCAATAACTTTTCAACATGGAAAACGACTACCAATATTTTGGGTTTTATCTCAACAAGCAATCAACAAAGAAAAAAAATTAACTACTTCAAGTTTGGGCAAATTTTATTATTAGTCATCGAACTATGTGTAAATTATAGATTTGGTCCAAGTGTTCTTCCATTTATTGATATGGCCACAGGGTCTAAAGCCTTCAGCGAAGGACTTGACCATTTCAATGCTGATGCATATCACTTGAACCAGTTTACATATCATTGGCAAGAACCAGCAAGAAACGATAACAATTTATTCACAATTCATTGCTTCATGCATATCATATCGAAATTCTCCGATCTCACATGTTTTTGTAGAACTCCATGACCGAAAAACCGAAGATGCAACATGCCACTCGAAAAGCCTGCTTCCTTTGCCAAGCTCTCGTATTCCTTTTCTGTCCTGTCCTTTGCGCCTTCATTCATGCTCAATGTGTACACATCGAACTGATACACGCTTTTATATGAGACGTTGGCGTCGGGGATTACCGTCTGCACCGCGATCACTTTCCCACCGGCCGGTAATGCTTCGTAACAATTCTTGAGTAACTACTGCAATTTTTTTCGTTCAAAGAACTGGTGTTAGTCATTAGTCAATACTTCCTTGGACAGATAAAAGAGATTGTATCAAGGCCTAACCTTGATGAAAATGGCGTTGCCTTTCCGTACGGTCTCGAAAGCATCTCCGGTAACATTCTCGATTCCTACAACACAAACATATAGAACAAATTAACAACTATACAGTTTTAGCAGATAACACATCAATGGTGGTGAGCTTGTATGAATATCATACCAGGGTAGGAAGGTGACTTGTCAATTATGTGGCAGATCAAAGTTAATACCCTTGATGGAAGGGTACTTGGAAACAATACTGTGGAGAATAAAACCGTTGCCGCTGCCGACATCGACCAACGAATTCAAGCCGTCGAAGCCCCGGTAGCTTTTCAACATCTCTTCCACGAACAACTTGTTGTACTCGATCATGGCGACCTTGAAGACGTCTCCGAACCTCGTATCGTTGCGGAGATACTCGTTGATATTCATTCCATGTGTATTTGTAAATGGATTCTCCCCTTGTAGGACTGATCTTTCAGCTGGTACCAGGAATGTAGAGTGACCTCGTCCTGATATAAGCCTAACAAGGGAGACAAAGAACTTCCACTTGGGCTTCTAATGAATTATTTGGCAGCAGGTGCCAAACCATAAAGCCTGTATGATCGAGGCGGAAGTTGGGAAGCAATCTGGGAAGAAGACAGCAGCGCACCAGGTCCGGCACTCTGTACGATCTCGAACACGCCGAGTTTAATAGCCACTTTCGACGCCATGGACAACACCGAGGAGCTAATCAGTTGCATAGCGTGATGCTGGGCTTCTCTGTCTTCTTCATCGGTCCAGGTTCTTGATTGTTGGTTTTCTTTAAAACTCAGTCGTTCTTGTCGTGAATTTGAAGATATTCTCTAAGACTCTGACTGGATTTAACACCTTCGTGCGTCTGCTTTCAGTTTAAATATTTGCCTCACAGCGAAGATTCAACCTTGGCTGTTTTGATTCGAGTAACTTGACCATTTAAGATCAATATCTTCCGTGAAGAAATGATGAAATTTCAATGTCAACTTGTCAATTCAAAGCCACGTTCTGGGTGGCTGCTAAACGGTTCTTAAGGAGTTCCACCTGTACGGTCTTGGTAATTCGTCTAGACAGTCTTCAATCATGACTTGTCGCCGATGAATCTTCAAATTTATTGATTTTAAAATGAATAAATGTTTTACTTTCACATTTTTAGATGAGATTTTATTTCTAAAATTTATTTCATATTCTATACGTTAATAGGATAAATTAAAATTGTAAATGAGACGAGACATGTCACAATTATTTAAGTTTGATTCTGTCAAAATTCGATTAATATTCAAATCAATTGACTCAACTCGAGCTCAATTTTAGTTCTTAATATGTTGAAATGAATTCTTTAATATTCGACTTGAAAAACTCGTGAGTTATATTATTAAAATAACATATTTTTTTAAATGCAATGGATTTATGTATTTAAATGCAATAGATTTATGTACTTAAAGTTTTTGTGAGTTCAAACTTCAACCGAGCTAAGTTCAAGAATATTTCGAGTTAAGTTTTTTCAAGCTTGAATCAAGTTTCAACTTTTTATTTCAATTTCGAATCAAGTTTGACAATTGTATGTTGCAGCTCTGAAACATACAATTGTCAAACATGCAATAAAAGCTGACAACAATAGATGATGAAGGTTGCTTAAGTTGCAGCTCTGAAACGCCAGAAATAATGGGTTCCAACAACATTCTTTCAGCAGTCATTGGCTTAGGGTCAAAACCCACCAGGTAAGAATACTTTTTAGATGCAATGGGTCAATTGCGATTAGAACACCCAGTTTACTATTTGTACAAAGAATCAAGATCTTAAGTATGTTACAAAAGTTGCACGGATTTAGGTACAGTCTTGAGGTTCTTTCCTTATGCTTCATTAGCTAACTTTTCTGGTTCACATACAACTTAAGATTTGGCGGCTTTACCTTTTTAAGGTTATTGAACTCAGTCTGGTTGCTCGCAGATATTGAACCTTTCAAGTCCGTGACAGCAGCTTGAACACATCCTGCATGTACCACTTTCGCCATTATATTTATCACCTATGTACAAGATGTACTCCTTCCACCAGCACTTTGAAAGGTTAGCTAAAAGCATATAGGCCTCAGAATACACCAGGGTGGAGATGTGAAAGTAAAATAAGTAGTGTTGAAAGGGAAAACATTTCAGGGTTGAGGTAAGGGAAATAACCTTTATTTTGATCAGCACTTATCTGGCTCCGGTTTCATGTGTAAGCCATGTTCTTGATAATATAAAGCTGTTTTAGCCTCGAGCCATAGTTTCCTATAAAATAAGGCTTCTGGTGGCATTTCATGCTCTGTCGAATGAACTACTTTTGGGTCCTTCCGGGTGACCTGAATCTTGTATGAAGAATAGAAACATTCAGCAACTTTCCAATTAATTGGAATGAATTCAGTAACGAATTATGAGCTCATTGATCTTCATGTAACTTTAATCGCCATTGCTTTGATAAAAGAGAATAACATCATACTACTTAACATAAGTGCACAGATGTCTCATGCATTCTGTTGATGTAATACAACTTCCATAATTACATTGTTAAAGTCATAAGAAGAGACTGTTTATATGTCCTGTAATAGCAAACAACTATTTCATACAGAGGCAGCAAGGGGATCTATTACACACACTAAACAGATGCAATCAGGTTGGAATTATTATCATAGAAACATAAAACCAATACATGTAAGACCGAGAAGTTGAAAAAGATATTAAGTACCATACCTTATGGTTATCAGCTACTTGCCTCTTACCATGTAAAGTGCACATGTGACATGGTCCGGACCTTACAGCTCTTTCACCAGCCTGATTTCCGATGACAACATAAAGTTTATTGATTATATTCAGAACTTTATCATATTCATGCTCACTCATTGAACCTAAAGCAAATGAATAATTCTGCAGAAGCAACTCTGATAAATATTGGATTGTATTAATCAGTAAGTTAGCATCAAGTTTGGGAGGTGTAGACTTGAGTGGCTCTAGAAATCTTTCAGTTAAATCTGAAGAAACACCAACTCCAGTGGAATGTAAATTCAGGGCAATTTCTGTTGCAGGGAATAAGATGCTAGAATTTTTCCCAGTATGTGCAATGTCTATAACACCGTCCAACACATTATATCTTGCATCGGCAATACCCTCCATGCCACCAGCAAAATTTTCAAGCCGACTTTCAGGGGAAACATACTCTTCCCCAAGATATGGCTCGAGACGACAAGAATTGACCGCTGAATTTCTAAATGACTCGTAAGGAGTGCCATACTCCTCTCTTGAGTCACAGACATCAGAAGACCAAAGTATTCCTATATCATTGATTTCTTCGGAGGGACATGTGCCCTCTTTATCAGAACCCCTTGATCCTTCTTCCCTTGACGAACAAATAACAGCTAAAGCCCCAACATTCTCAATATAGGAAAAGCCATCTCCATGACATTTCTTCTGATGGTAATCAACTTTTTGTTTAGAATTTCCAGGAATAAACACAGGTGCTAGAGGATTCAAACTGTTACGAGCCACTTTTTCATTCTTAGAATGTTCTAATTTCAGACACACCGACTCTCTGGATGAAGATTGACCATTACAATCTTCCGAATTGACAGGGACTGAATCTCTAAGTGAAGATTTATAAACCTGGGTTCCTTTCCAGCAAGGTGAATCTACATCAGAATCATCACTGTTGGTAGACCATTTATCATCAGGTATACCGGCTTTCACACCATGTTGTTCTACACTCAAGTCTCCATGATCAGTGGGACAAGCAATTTGAAGCTTGGATTTTGCCATAATGCAAGGGATTTTAGTCTCATTGTGGACAGGTTCAACAAGTTCTATCTTTTCACCTTTTTTTGTTAGGATTAGGTCTTGGCAAGCCACCTTGTCTAGAGGACTCCGCACTATATGACTACCAAACATGCCAGGTACAACATTCCCAGAATAGGAATCCATGTTGCTAACTGTATAAGTGCCACCATAAGGCACATTCTCTAATGGAACAGGATTAACAATTGTAGCATTGTAACTAGCACCTGATGGTTTGAAAGTTTGAGCTGAACAAGATATACACTTTGGCTCAGATGAAACCAGAGTTTCAGGTGCACAAGAAGCAAGATGTGGAAAGCAAATCTTGTTGTTAATAATAGCTGAATCACAATGACTCAAAGTCGGTAATGGCACTGAGTATGACAGTTTACTTTGGTTATCTTGAGGTCTTGGAGAAAAGGGCAAATCTGATGATATCAGAAATGATTTTGTCATACATTTGTTCAACAAATTTACTTCGGAATTAGCCAGTCGAAAAACACAGATTCCAGCATGTAATTTATCCTCATCTACTGGTCTAATTCGATTATCTTTTCCAACGACCACACAGTCTTTTTCATGCAAAACAGAAGGTGTTTTACTAACAAGTTTTGATCCTTCAATAGCAGTACCTGGACAAAACCATTAACAGTTTCAGCCCTAGTTGCATGGTTGCCAGCAAAAGCAAAAACATTTATATTAACCATTAACAGAAGGTGCTTTCTTTTTTTTAAGACAACTTTGCACCTACAAGTAACCTTCATTCCATCCAACAAGAACAAAACCCTGTGGTTCATAATTTATATAAATAATTAACCCTTTAGAAGACCAACTCTTACGTTACTAAATTTGTCACTAATAGCAAATGAATTAGTTTGGTACAAAAACGAAAATCTGTAAGAAATCAAAACTACCTTGCTCAAGCGGGTTATTGCAGGACAAGGAAACACCAGTTGCAATCTGATCGTTTGTGCGAGGAACTTCTCGTAGCCATTGTTGATTTGTAGAAGTTCCCTGAATTTCACTCTCGAGGCCAACCTTGCTTAAGCTTGAGGAAATAGGAGTGAAATTGGTTTGAACTGGAGGATCCTCCGACGGGTGGCTTGTGAAACAAGAATTGAATTCAAAGTCAAGGTCATTAACAAAAGGGAAAGCAGTAATTGCCGTAGAGTCGGACTGATAGGCATAGTAGCCACGGTGACTTTGATCACCCAAATTCAGGTAGGGGAAGGGTTGATCAAGAGTGGAGGTAGACGAAGGGGCAGAGCCAAGTAAAGGGTCAAAAGATTCACGGCGATTGAAAGGGTTACTGATGGTGAATGGACGAGCCAAAGGAGACAAACGAGACGAGGATGATGGGATTGAACACGTTTTAATGGCTTTACTGCCCTCACTCATCATTCTACGCAAAAGGAACCAAAACCTGTTCCAATTTTCAACATTCAAAGACACAAAACGGAGCACAAATCACATACCAATAATAAGTTTCCATGATTGTCCTAGTATCATAACATAATTTTTCCGGTGATAGATGAAAATATATATATAAACACTAAAAGGAATGCATATTGAATGACATGAATTGATGAATTATTTCATATTTCATACCTTGAAAACTGAAGTTTGAAGCTGAAAGACTTCTTCTTCTTCTACTTCTTAAATCGTTAGGTTTTTCGCCGCAGACGTGGAAAGAACATTGGGAGGCTCTCCCCCTTCCATTTGACTCTTATTTGAACACAGCTTCGTTAATAAGTCATTGACCAACTCTACACTAACACGTAGGGTCGCCCCTTGCTCTTTCTCTTATTTATGATTTTACCCCTTTAACTTTCCCACTTTTGTATTTTTACCTTATTAATTTAACTAATTCATAGTAGATTTCCACTGCATAGAATAATATAATAACTTTTAAATTAAATAATTGCGTTTAATTAATTTCTCAAAAGTGAGATAAATATTGCGATTTTATGTAAATAGGAAGAGATGAGGGGTCCAATGTAATTAACACAAAAATGGGGCATATTGCATATTCCAGTACAATAATTGTTGGCTTTCTTGGAAACTGGTAAGGTGAAAGAACCACCGGATCAAACAATAAAGAAGAAAGCAAGAAAGATCCAATTATCAAATCAATCAATCAATTTTTATTTAGTATATTACTTTTAATATATACATTTTTATATAAATGGATGAATAAATTATTAAATACTTTTTGTCTTAATTATTTTAGTTAATTGTTTTTGTAGGGAAATGCGTAAATATTGTTAAATAAATAAATTATATATCGGAGGGGATTAATTCTTTCTAATTATTGGTATAAGATAATTTATACTAATCTATTTATACGAATAGACGTACAACATAACAAAGTCCACGTGATACACGCCTTTAGTAAATGTGTAAGAACCCTCAAACAATCCAACAGTTCAATCTGTTCCCCTACCTTCTCCATGAAGTAAACCCACATGGCCACTTTATATATAATTATAGCATCTTCAGCTCTTGTTTTCTCTTCTATTTTTTTTTATTGTTTCTGGCCAAAGAGAAGAGATTAAATTAATAAAAGTTTATTTGGACTAAAACGGAATTACAAAATATATGGATGACTAAATACAAAATTTATCCTTTATTTGATAATGATCTCGTTTCTATTTGCATGTTCGCTTATAAATTCATTGTTCTTTAACTTGATTTTTTTTTGTCAATATCGAGGGTAATAAAACTGTTTGGCCCAGTATCGAGGTGATGAGTTTGGTTTAATATATTATTTTAATGATTCCAATTTAATAGTTTTATGTGAATTATTATTTTAATATATTTAGCGAGATTCGTCATTTTGATGTGATTAGTATCTTAATAAATTATTTTTTAAAATTATATTTAAAAAAAATTATCATGTCGAGGTGATGAGTTTTCTCCGAATTTCAAAAAATTAGCTGTCTAGAGTTGTTGCGCAACAGATTACAATGGTCACTTTAAATTGTCACAATGAAACTTGTCACCTCGAGATGACGATTTTTATCATATATAATTTTAAAAATTGTATTAATTAAATAAAAAATCTTATAAAACATAATAATTTTATTACAAAAAATAATATAAGAGTTATTACAAACTAATACATACATAATAAAAATTAGGGTAAAGTATAGTAATGGTCAATGAATTTTTTTAAAACTTTCATTTAGGTCTCCCAACTTTTAAAATTTACAATACAATCCTCCAACATTTAGTCATTTGTAATATGGTCCTTGACGTTACACTGCCGTTAGTACATTTGCAATATGATCACTGAAATTTTCAGGTGCTTGCATTTAGGTCCCTCAACTTTTAAAACTTGTAACACAATCCTTAATTCATTCTAAACCTAAATTCCTTTTCAGTCTCGAATTTCCTTTTTCGCTTCTCTCTTCTCATTTTCAGCGCAACTTTTCAGCCGTTGATGCAATGAAAATTCTAATCTAACTTTAAATTATATGGAGGTGTTGACTTGAATAACGATTCATTCAGAGAAGGCATGACTAAGGGACTATCGGGACCATCAACGATTCAATGTGTAATGTTAGATACAAGTAATGTCAGGTGAAGAATAGATGTTCGATGAAATGCTTGTGAGAAAAAAATGGGGTTAGAAATCCAGAGTTGAAAATACTACTAAGATGAACTAAGTATCATTGTTGAAAGTCACCAACAAAGCTGAAATTATAGCTTTAGAAGACAATTCTGCATGCACACAACTAGAAAGACATCATGACAGGGTAGTATATTTGGAGCAGTTACTTGACCCTGTCATGATGCCTTTCGAGTTACGAAAGAGAGTGAGAGGTGAATGCGTTGTTTGGGATTTCATTCTATTTCAACAATGATACTTAGTTCATCTTAGTAGTATTTGTCAACTCTGCATTTCTAACCCCATTTTTTTCTCACAAGAATTTCATCGAACATCTATGCTTCACCTAAGATGACATGTATCTAACATTACACCTTGAATCGTTGATGGTCCCGATAGTACCTTGGTCGGGTCTTCTCTCAATTGACCCTTATTCAAGTCAACACCTCCACATAATTCAAAGTAAGATTAGAATTTCCCATGCATCTCCGACTGAAAAGTTACGCTGGAAATGAAAAGAAAGAAGCGAAAAAGGAAATTTGAGATCGAAAAAGAATTTGGGGTTTAGAATGAATTGAGGACTATGTTGCAAGTTTTAAAAGTTGGGGGACCTAAATGTAAGCGCCTGAAAAGTTTATTAACCATATTGCAAACGTACTAACGGCAGTGTAACATCGAGGACCATATTGCAAAACGGACTAAATATTGGAGGATTGTATTGCAAGTTTTAAAAGTTGGGGGCCTAAATGAAAACTTTAGAAAAGTTCAGTGACCATTACTATACTTTACCCTAAAAATTATTTACATTTTCGTAGTTCTTGACGATACTGATGAGTAGTCGAATGATATGGCGTGAGACTCGTCGAGTACGTTGGGGTCATTCGCCTTGATCGTCTTTTTCTTCATATTCGCTTGATTCTTGAAGAGGATGTGTATTGAACACACTCTGAGAACCACATTCGAAATACGATAATATGATACTTATGGTATTTGGTGTAACACCCTCAACCCGTACTCGACCCGGATACGATCCAGGATGTCACATTGACTATAAAAAAATAATAAAACATTTGGACTTAAATAACTAAAATATGATAATATACATAGGTTTATACAAAGTTCATCAAAATGCTCAGAGCATACACAACTTAACAGTTTAATTACATGCCAACATTCATTTACATAACAAAATGACCTACTGATTAAGTTGCTTCTGATATGATAATTGCAGGAGTAATGTTGTTCAACCGCTTAATCTGTCTCGTCTACTTTCTCGGATCCTACGTGTGAAACACTCACACGCTAAGTCATCGACTTAGTGAGACAATATAATAATGACAAGAAAATAGAATAAGAATGCCAAAATTAAATGAAGTGCAATGAACATATGCATTTAATCGGTGCAATATCCATAACCATGTTTCCTACACATAGACTTATCACATTAACACTCATAAGTTCATATTAATCAGTTCACTAGCCCATGATACCATACTGAGAACCTAAGGTATGTGAGTACTGTGAGTTTGTGCACTATGATGTCACCACAGCTCGTATAATTGCACCGAAGTGCCACGTAGAATTGCACCGAAGTGCCGCGTAGAATTGCACCGTAGTGCTATGTAGAATTGCACCGTAGTGCTATATAAGATGTCCCTAAGGATCACGTACAAAATTCCTTAAGAATCATATACATATACTAAGGACCAAATATGTGTCTCAAAGGACCTCATACATGTTCCAAAGAATACATATATGTCCCGAAGGACCGCATAGACCCTCTACTCTTGGCATGCCAACTATACCTATAGTTCTCATCTACATAACATGGGCTTTTCTCAATTTACATAATATATCACATAGACATATCCTTTTTCTTGCCTTCATCACATAGCTCATATAACTTCGCATACAATTCATTTAAAACATATTACACAATGCACATAGTATGAATTTCTATTACATTTCATAATATAAAATGAATCATGCATCAATGTATTGAATCTAGACTTATCACAAGTCTAGAACTGGATACACTATTATAATCATGTTATGCATATGCATTCACTTATATTTCTTTGCTTTTCCCTCGATCGATCTTACTGGGCAATTGTTCTAGAACATGTTTAGGCTCTGAATCTACATAAATATACTTTTCAAAAATGATTATCAGATGCCTAAACCTTTTAATTAACTTATAATAGCTTAAACAAATTTAAGGAATTAATGTTTCATTTTTCCTTTAGGGGGTATCGATACTACTAGGGGTATCGGTACCCTCATAACATTCTGTAATTTTTGTTCAAAGGGGTATCGGTACCAATCTGGGGGTATCGGTACCCCTATGACATTATGAAATTTTCTCGTTTGAGAGGGTATCGGTACCTATTGAATGGGTACCGATACCCCTAGCCCATAAATCATGTTTTGAGCTTGAAAATCACTTCATTTTTAGCTCCATACTTCATACTTCACTTCCTTTAATATACCTAACTTTCATACACATACTTAAACTCATTTTTACTCTATAATCACTTCTTTAAACTCAAAATTCTATCATTTACATGGCATTCAAGAATCACACTAAATTTCCAACATGTTCTAAATTTAATTCTAACACCTCATACTTCTTAATTAACTTGATGACAAGTCAAATCCAACTTCTAATTCTTATTATGAACTCTATTCCAAGATTTATTTCATGGTTCATAACCTTTAATCTCCCCTAACTTCATCATCCATTGATTTTAAGATAACTTAAGTTTTTCTTAAGCTTAGTTATCATCTAATGATCAATAAGCAACCTTAAATTCATCAAGAATTTAATCAACAAGAAAACTTACCTTTAGCTTGGCTTCACGGTGGAGAAGAATAATAAAGAAGAAGAGAAATCTGGAAACTTTGGTTCTCCCCAATAGCTTTCCACGTGGATATATAATTATCCTCAACTAATATTTAATTACTTCCCTGCTAAAAGACTCTTTTGCCCTTGTAATTCTTTCTTCTTTGCTAATTGATCCTACATAAAACATTTCAATCAAGTCCTTGATCTTTTCAATATATCCAATTTGGTCACTGAATTTTTAAATCTCACAATTTAATCACTAACTCGGTATGGAGAATGTTACATTTGGCGCCATCATTGTCGTCATTAAATCGACTTAGCTACCTTGATGACCATATATCATATGATCTCATCCACTCACTTGCATGTTCTGTCGAAGTTGCTTGAGTGTTTTGCATTGCATCTCATGAACCTCTAACCTAATTCGGTAGAGTCTCAGTTGAAGCATGATATGAATGATAAAAACCAAAATTAGCCTGAGATGCAAATAATCGGTAGAACCAAAAGAAGAAGATGATTATTCTGTGGACTTTACGAATCTGGTCTTATGTTGTTCTCATTATTCTTTCTCTTTCGATGTCGTGAGATATGGTTCTCATTTGCTCATAATTTAGGAGATAGGGAAAAAATCAAAATCTAGGTCAGTAGATGTAATCACGTAACACACGATGATCGATAAATGACACTGGTTTTATCACTCAATGTAAACAGTGTGCTTCATCGGTAAATTTTCGGTATGTTTCTCACACGTATCAATTCTATGGAGATCGTACATGTCAAATATATGTATAGGAATTGGTTGATGAGACACAAATTGTCACAACACTCTACTTACGACGTACATCTCAACAATCATAAAGTGTAATAAAGGCGTTACGGCACACCACAACTCTGACCCATAAAAAAATCCCAGTGACAGTAACCGATAGATCTCTTCGTCACAATACGAAAACAAAAAAACTATAAACATTAATTATAAAAGCTAGTATTTATAAAGTTAAATAATATTAAAAAAATAATAAAATTAATAATATAATGCAGTTGAATATTTATCGATTATTAATCGGTGATATCGATCTTCATTTGTATATATCTTTTAGTTGCACCCAACAAAAAAAAATAAACACAGATAAAAAAATAAATAAAAATATATTAAAATAAAGTTAAGAAATTAGCTTGTAGTTAGAGAAAACTTAATTAGGGCAGGTGTAATTTGCGTAAAAAACGGAAACTGACACTAAGTCCAAGACTGTAGCAATACTAGACAGTATGCTACAACATCTTTTTTACCTATTTTGACGATTATAGCCTTACAAAGTTTTCAGTATAAAAATGCCAAAATCGTCGAGCCCCAATTAGTATTACGACATTTAGTAAAATTATTCAATATAGGAAGATACTGAGTGTGCGCCAAATTATCGGATTTATCCGACAGTGATATCCCTCTAGCCAACTAGAGAAGATACGCTCGAGCTACAAATATGACCTCCTTCTCGGTAGAGTCGTTTTCACTTGAAATTCGAAACTCCAACCAAGTAATTCGTATCTGATACCTGTCTAAGACCTCGTGTGGTGGCATCCTTCCCAAAACTTCATGAATAATACCGAATCGGTTATAATCGTTCTGTCTCATGATGGTTGCATCATTAATCGAAACACCCAGTTGGTAAGTTACATATTCCAACGTAATTGTCGCTTTACCACTAGAAAAATAGAAAGTATACGCTTCAGGACTCTAAATTTCAATCAGATCCGAAATCAATGATGTGTTCACTTTAAAACCACGCATAAATGCGGTTGGATATGCCGGATTGTTGTAGATGTATAATAATCCGCTGATGCGGGTCTCTCAATGTCATTCCTCATTGATGAATGTCTCGTTCTTCTTCCGGACATAGTTCGAACGAAGAAATATAGATATCATCAAGGTGTAACATTTCTTATCGTGTAGACATTTTTTTAGAATTCTTCAAAAACTATGATTTTTCTCAAAAAAAAAGCATAACAATAGATAGTAATTTAAACCACAAATCCCTATTTATAACCCTAATCACAACAGTTATAAAAAGTTATATTTTTCAAAAATTCGGCCGAACTCGTCACCACGAGGTAACGATTTTCATGGAGACCGTTGCAAAATGACCATTGTAATTGCCCAACGACTCTAACATCTAGTTTTTTGGATTTAGGGGAACTCATCACCTTGACGTGATGAGTTCCATCTTTTTCCCTTTTTTAAATTATTTAATTAATTTAAAAAAAAAAAATCTTAAGGGATTCGTCATATCAAAGTGACAAGTCTCGTTAAATATATTAAAATAATAGCGGCCCACTTAACTGGGACTATTAAAATAATTACCCAATTGGGCAAATAATTTTGTTACCGTCGATATTTGGGGGAAAAAACCCTTTAACTTGAAAACTATCAAATTATCAACGAACAATATTTAATAACGATTCTCTTCTTTCTAATTACCAAATAATTATTTACATGCATGATCACGTGGTACCGATTTCTTACTGGAGTAATAATTTTGTTTTACATGAGAGAGCAGGCATTGACGTTGTCATCGTTGAACAAGTTGCTGACCTTGTCGTCTCCACGAATCGTTACAGGAACGTTACCATGCCTGTGTCCGAGGTTGTATCCATGCCTGTAATAATTGTAACTCCCTCTGTACTCGTTGGTCGTGTCCTTGTAGTACTCGGAGGCGGTGGTGAAGTACAGAGGAGGGTTAGGATAAGGCCAGAATTCAGCCCTCTTCCCCGCCCTCCTCACTCGTTTCAGTACCTTGTTCCGGTCGACGTACCCGGTCACCGTCACCTTCTCCATCTCTATGTCCACTTCCACCGAATCGACCCCTGACATGCATTATTAATATTCTCAACCATGAATAACGATCCTATGGAAACAATGATGGTGATCGGATAAAAGAACTAATCGGTATATATACCTCTAAGCTTGTAGATGGCGTTTTTCACTACTCTCTCGCAACCGGTGCAACACATCCTGACTTTGAGGTCCACAGTCTGTAAAATCAAGCGAAAGCTATGAGTCATAGGATCTTGATGATTATACGTAGATTAAGATAACGAATATATATGATCGTCTCACAATAAATTTAACTCTAATAAATGGTTTAATTAAGCTTTAAACCTGCAAAGAAAGTGGTCGACCCTTGGCCTTAGGCATGCTGTGGTAATTGACGTTGCCGACATTCTTTTTGTTGTTGTCTCGGTAGCCAAAGAAACAGTAAGTGATTGCAGATACGATAGAACCAAATGCTTTCGTTATTATTCTCGCCATTAGAACAAGTCCGGTCAAGTTTATAAAGAGAAGGAAAAAGGAAGAAAAAAGCTGAAGAAAAACGAAGACAAATCCACCCGTTTCCCAGCCCCAGAAGACATTCCCTCTATTCCATGTGTAGAAGAATTTATAAAACAAAGTACCCTTTGGGAGGAATGGAATGAGGTCTGATGTTAGTGCTTGAAACGTGGGTCAAGCCAACATGATTGCTGCTGACACACCCAGAAGACAATATCGGCTGGTTTTGGGATAAATTAGTAGGGAAAGCCAGGTTTTGATGCAAAGTGTACATATATACCTAAAACCTTGTCTTTCCCACCATCTAGAAAGCTTAATTGACAGAGTTCGATTCACTTACAAGTCATACATGTTTTTACATTTGTCATGCAATCCTAGAGAAAAGGCCCCCTTCTAAGATTAAAATTCACACAATTCTGTTTATTTTTCTTCCAGCAATTACAGCCGATCCAAGGATAGAAGATGGTTTGCAGGGGGACATGTACCAAATTATCAGGTAAAAGTAGGGGTACCTTAGGTGTAATCATGTCCGTAGTTTGTGCTACTCCGACCCTACTGGCTACTTGCAATACATAATGCGCCAATGTGGCTTATCCTGAACAACTTTTGGCTACTAAATTGTTCACAAAACTCGATGTTTTGTTTATTTCTACGAGCTAGTGACAATTAGGTGATTATGATTGGAAGCTTAATCTGTTTTAAAGAAAATATAACTTCCCCCACCATTAGCTCACTCTCCCTTGAATTCATAATTGATTAGGGGAACCATAAGTTGTATTGTTGCAGTCGGAATCAAGAGCAAGCTTTCTGCATTTTGAATCTGTTTTTTTATTAGATTCTTAAGATCATCATCTTGAACTATTAATCAACTTAGTTCTTTCATTAAAAATTATTAACATAATCGAATAAAATTCATTGTTGTTCTAGTAGTAAACCAATTCAGATTAGAAGCTACAATAATCAATCAAAAAGCTTATAAGATTACCAGCAATGGAATATACTGTCAACCAATTCATCTACAATAAAATTTTGAGCCAGGGGTAAAATTTAAGGCCATATCATGCAAAGTACACACCCCTATTCTTCATACAATATGCTTTACACACAGTGCACAATTAAAATAACCTGATCTGTACTTCCTACAAGATTCAACAGGAAACTGGTCTACCTACCTACCTACAGCCTGTTTCAACATCATCAAGAAGTCGAGATCCAATTCATCCCGATATCCCCACGACAAGTGCAAACAAGACCGTGATGATGAAAACGCTGAAAACACGAGTTAAAGGGAAGCTTGAGCAAGGATGAGCAGTAGTTTCCTTTAAATGCATTGATGGGCCCTTTTGGCCTCCTCCATTCTGCTTCATCCTCTGCCTCGGCTCTGTAAATGATTTGTCAGCAATATCCCTGCTGCCATCAGACTTGAGCAACTTGTTCTCTTTTTCCGACTCATCAGAACTAGAAGTTTGTCCTGTAGTTTCAGCTTCAGCTACCTGCATCAAAGAGTTGAAAGATATTGTTATGTACTTCAGTATATACTAATATTATAGTTTGACCTTTGCCAAAACAAAATGAAAGGTACACGGTAAACACAGTGCTAATAATTAGCTATTCCTAGTTAATCAACCTTCTGCCTTGGTTTTGTGCTAGATTCATCAACAATATCCCCACTGCCATCAAACTTGAGTAACTCATCGACTTTCTCCAACTCATCAGAGCTAGAAGTTTGGCCTGTAGCTCCAACCTCTGTGACCTGCATTCAAATCATTGAAAGATATTGTTCACTTTAATAAATGTATTACAGTACATACTAATATTATACTTGACCTTTGCCAAAACAAAACAGAAGGTATAAGGTAAACACAATGCTCAAATCATCTTTTCCTAGTTAATCTACCTTCTGCCTTGGTTTTGAACTAGATTCATCAACAATATCCCCGCTGCCATCAAGCTTGAGTAACTCATCTTCTTTCTCTGACTCATAAGAGCTAGAAGTTTGGCACATAGCTTCAGCTTCTGTGACCTGCATTCAAATCATTGAAAGATATAGTTCACTTTTTGAAATATACTCAAGCATGCTAATATTATACTTTGACCTCTGCCAAAACAAAATGGAAGGTACAATAAATACAGCACTAAAAATTAACTTCTCCTAGTTAATCTACCTCCAGACTTGGTTTTGTACTAGATTCATCAGCAATATCCCCGCTGCCATCAAGCTTGAGTAACTCATCCTCTTTCTCTGACTCATCAGAGCTAGAAGTCAGTGCTGTAGCTTCAGCTTCTGTGATCTGCATTCAAAGCATTGAGAGATATTGTTCAAATTTTGAAATGTACTTCAGTATACTAATATTATACTTTGACCTTTTTCAAAATAAAAAGTAAGGTACGATAAACACAGTGCTAAAAATTAAATTTTTCCTAGTTACTCTACCTCAGTTAGAGAAGATTGAACTTCTTCACTGAGTCCAGGACTTGTCATTTTCCCACCAAAGCCACGGCATGCAGAACAATTTGCTGGTCCAGTAGAAAGTTTCATTTGCAAGCGTGTTCTTCTTGAAGCAGTGCCTCGATTTGCAATATTCTTCTCTGACTCATCAGAACTAGAAGTCTCCCCTGCAGCTTCAGGTTCTGTGACCTGCATTCAAAGCATTGAAAGATATTGTTAAGTTTGAGAAATGTAATTCAGTATACTAATATTGTACCTTGGCATTTCGCAAAAGAAAATGGAATTTAGGATGAGCAGTATATAACAGCGCTAAATATTAGTTTTTTCTGGTTACCTCGATTAGAGCAGATTGAACTTCTTCTCCAGTGAAGCCCACACTTGTTATTTTCCCATCATCGATACAGCCTACAGAACCTTTCATTGGCCCAGTAGAAAATGTCATATCCAAGTGTATTCTTCTTGAAGCAGTGCCTTGATTTAAAATCTCTGAATTTGGTCGTTGCTGAGGTCCACGGGTCCTAGTCTTGATTACAGTTCCAAGAGTTCCAGTGTTCATTCCAACACCACCACAATTCAAATTATTCTTCAAACTAGTTAATTGTTGCAAATGATTGATAGAACCCGTTGCAGAATCAGTAAATGAAGTTCCATGGCCAACAAAATCATTTCCAAAACCACCGATATTTCTGGTTCTAAACTCTTGGTTAAAATGTGTTGCTCGTGTAAGGGTAGATTCATACGAAGCTTGCATTTGCAGTGCTTGCTTGTTATCAATATGCCCACCAAGCCACCTTTGAGCTCCACCCTCTGTATCAAACTGGTAAAGAAGTCGAAAATATATAAACATATATATAAAAACATTAGAACCCAACAGTAAACTAAATCCAAGTACCTAAAAAGTGAAAATTAGATAGAAAGAAGGATGCTGAAACCAATAAAAAACTCAAAAGTCTAAAGAAACAAACCCCCAAATGCTACATACATAGGAACAAAAAAGCTAATAGCAAGTTATTTCTTTACCTGTAATTGTGGCATTTCAGTGTTTGCCTCAGTGACTACATTTTCTTTGAAATATGATGTTTCTGGTGGTGTTGCCTTTGAGATGAATGAATTATCAAACAAGGGCATCTCTGTTCCAGCAACCGAGTTCTTCTGAGAGCTTGACTCGCCACAGGAGTCATAATGGTTATTTAAGACATCATCCAACAAAGAGAATGATACATCTTGTGCGCTAGTCCCGTCATTGAAATGAAATCCATTTTGATCATGGCCAAAGTCACTAGCATAAGGAAAGTCCAAGCAAAGTGGCAGATCTTCAAACAAATGTGAGTTCATTGGTGGTGAAAAGACTCTGTAGTCAAGTTCACCATAATTGGGTTCATACGAATTCGAATTGCCTTTCAGGAAGGGATATTTCTGTGTTAAAAGGCAAGAAAACAGTCACTCACCAAGAATCACGATATAGAAGTCATACGACTGTTGCAGCTGCTGGTATCACCTGTTACTTGATCATTTTGCATAAAGTTATCAGGCTTTTGAGAATGCGTCACGGATGACACGGTATCCTGCATAAGATCCGATGATGTGTCATCAGGAGAAGATTTTATCATGGCAGAAGAATATCCCGTTTGTTCCAGTTCATCATACTTCACAGCATCATTCTTCTCTTCTACTTTATGAAACAATCGAAATAGAACAAAAGCAGTCTGCACCCAAAAAAAAAATGGTCCAGGTCATACAGCTATTCCTCAACCTTTTCTCCCTGGCTTTTCCATCAAACAAATGTACTAATAAAAGCAAAAATTTAAGTTCATGAAAATAGTTGCAGCAACTTAAACTAAGAACAGGAGTAAGAAAATAAAAACGAAAACCTCGCCAGGGGCAGTGCCATCAAGTTCCTTGGTAGTGGGGCGGTATTCGTGCATGATCCAGTTAGTACGCTCACCCTTGGGAGCACGACCCTTGTAGAAAACAAGGGTCTTCTTCATCCCGATCAGGGACTTTTTAGACTTGATGGTTCGGTCTTTCCCTGTGGCTTTCCAATACCCTTTATCCGTTGCTCTGTTGGAACGGTGGCCGTTGGGGTACTTCCTGTCACGAGGACAGAAAAAGAACCACTCCGGATCGTTCGATTTTATCACCGACAGTCCTGAATTTAATTCAAACATCCCAAACTTTAAAAATAAAATTGACCAAATTTTGAACTATAAAATATTTTCCCGCATACTTGGAGGAATATCAAAAAGGAATATAAGTAGGCTGTCCCGAAATTTCCAGTTTTAGAAAACAGGAATAAATCTTCTAAACTATATATATATATATATATATATATATTTGTTACAAGTGTTGAGGAATAACTCGGGCTAAAGGTATCAAAGATTCAGAACAATTATTCACCGAATAAATTCTGCTGTTTCTTTTTATTTTCCCGGGAAAATAAAAGGAAAGAGGGGGGGGGGGGAAATACCAGGCAAATCCCACGGCTCCCATTTGCAGATATCAATTTCAGGAATAACCTGAACCTCGGAATGACGACCGTTGATCTTCAACCTAAGGTAGTGATTGATGAGCTCCTCGTCGGTCGGCCTAAATCTAAATCCTAAAGGCAAAGCTCCCATCGTCAAAACCGCCATCATTCAAACCTCAAAAACTCTACTAGTTTTCAAACAACCGAATGTGGACGGCAGATTGACCTTTCGGTTAACCGCGGAAAAAGTGTAGCACTTCAATTACCATAAGGCCTCGAGTGAACGAAGAAAGGAGAGAGCAATGGAACACTGTGCTTTAGCTTTTCCCGCAAGGCTCCTCTTCTTAGCGTAAAAAAAGTTATCTCAGTAGTGCTGCGCTTTTTGCTTTTGCTTTCTTTTCTGGCTTTCAAATTCGATTAAAGTTGAAAAAAGAATGAGCAGTCTACTCGTGCACTAGACCACTCCTCTGCCTATGAATTTGTGTATTTCTTTCTTTATTATTTGATTACATTTAGAGGTGGTGCTCTTGAGCTACCATCTCTGTCTTTGAAATATATAATGTACCCAAAATTTAATTTTTATCTCTATCCTCGCCCCACCACCCGAAACATGTACCTATCTTCGCCCAATCGAATACGAAATGGGACGGATCCTCTCGAACCTGCCCCGCTTACATCGCTAAATCAATATATTGTACAATCGAAATGAAATAATAATAGATGGATCTCAACCCTATCCTCAACTATGAGAACATAATCATAAAATCACAAACTGATTTCTTGCTAAAATAATGAAGAGTTAGAGAACCCAAACTAATTAATCTGGCAACTCCAACCAATTGCCAATTCGACCTTCTTCAATATAATCAAGCTACACTTAAAGTCAAAAGAATGCGGCTTCCGTCAAAAGCAGTGGATATAGAATTTTCATATGCTTTTAGCTTACTATACGACACAAAATACGAAAGATCCATCGTGTGCATTCAGAATAATCAAGCAATCAAGGAAATACAGTTACTCATCTCGAAAACTTGAAACCCTGGCACACATATCCAAATCAGAAGTTTCATGTCCAATTTGACTATAAATTCTCAAACCATTCAAGGGGAATGTTACAAACTGTATCATGGTGTATAAATGTGTGTGGTAACAAACAATGGTCTGCTGAACTTTATATACGCAAATAACAAGAACCATGTAATTGGCTAGTAGACTCAAATTTTCCTATATACTGTATACAGGTTTACCTACAAAGAGGATGATGTCCAAGAGCCACATTTGCTTCTACCCTTTGCACAGCTCTCCTGATACTCCACTCGTGGCAGAATTCAAGGGCAAGTCGAAGGGCTGTTCCAAGTCCTAGTACAACAATAACACCTGTACAATGTCTCTTCAAGTTATGAAATCAAGCATAAAAGGCAAAGCTACTTCATAAGAATATTAACAGGCTTGGGAAGAATGCGAGTGAGGTGTGCATACCGATTATGATGTTAACAGGCAGTGCAGAGACACCAAGAGTAACGGATATCAACACATCCAACATTAAACCACCAATAAGAATTGAGAATGTCACCCATAGTGAACTAAAACAACCCTGCCATAAAGAATGATTTGATACAAATTAACACAAACAGGAAGGATTTTTTGACGAATAAGATTGTCTACTAGTTATCCACTTACCCTTTGGCGTTCATGTGGTGTAAAGTTTGGATCAACCCTCCAAACCCATTAATTTGTCTGCATCATGAAACACATTTGAGAATCGATCTAGGCATGAGTATGAGATATAAATAAACCCCAAATCATAATAAATACGCTTCAGCACCAGTTTTCTACATTTGCTTTGGACTAGCACTCAATATCATCACTTAATAGTAAACACCATCAAATTATTTACGCAACTTCGATTTATTTTCCAGCTTTAAATTTGGTTAACGAAACCTCTTCCTGCAATCAAACCCTGACCCAACCCCAAGATAAATGTCTAACATCTTCTAGGCCAAACCAAATAATACAAGCAAAGTCATCCTCAGGTTCATATTGCCAGCCCTTTCAGTTAAGCACGGAATACTTACAGTGGGCTGGGACTCTGGAGCTGATACATTTACAGCTACTGCTCTGCATGACAATAGTAAATAAAAATCGTGTATCAATTACAAATAAGCTAATTTTAAAGCATGGAATCAAATTTTGAATAATTACTGGCATATTTTGCATTTGTTGGATCCTTTTGTACGAAACCACATGTCAATGCAAGATCGGTGTGCTTTTGCTAGGCCACCTTTACATTGGCACCCAAGATCTATAAGACCTTCTTCCTTCTCCTGTTGACAAACTCTGAAGAAACATACAGATGGGAATTAGTTACAGTATTCGATACTACATATTATTTTCAAGATTAATCGCAGAAAAACAAGTTGAAGGTTAGAGCTAATCATCATAATGTCATGGTATATTTAAGATGGCTGACTGACCAGCCAAATGAGTACTAGCTTAGATGGCATGCATACTACATTGTTAGTGATAGGCTTTGGAGGCTGCAGGTTTGAGAGTGCTAAGCAGTTAAGATCATCCTCAAGAGGGTTACTTAGATAGGGTTACAGTGGATTACAAAAGTAAGAAGGAAAAAAAGATTGTTGACAGACCACAATATATAAAGACTACCTGAATGAGGCATTTTCTCAACCTAATCCTAAGGTTCTAATGTCACCAAACCTTTACGCAGCATATTATTTTGCCAAATTATAATGAAACGGTACAAATAAAGCAACACTCATTAATGTATAACATGTTTAGAAAGTATAAAGAGGAGAATTAAGACTACCATCTAGGCTAAGTGAAATGCTCAAGGCAATTAACAATACATAAACAGATAAAGATTTCATCCATGGGACTTCAATGACCATAGCTAACAGATACTCAAGCCTATGCGATGATCAACACTCTTACTAGGAGTACTAGCATAGAGCCAGGTAATCATCATAATGGAATGGTATATTTAAGATTGATGACTGACCAGCCAATTGAATACTAGCTTAGATGGTATGCATAGTTTCATACTACATTGCTAGTGATAGGCTTTTGAGGCTGCAGGTTCGAGAGTGCTTAGCTGTTAAGGTCCTCCTCAAGAGGGTTACTTGGGGTCACAGCGGATTACAAAACTAAGTGGGGGGAAACTGTTGACAGACCACAATATACATAAAGACGATCTGAATGAGGCATTTTCTCAAATCTCAACCTAATCCTAAGGGTCTAATGTCACCAAAACCTTTATGCAGCACACTATTTTGCCAAATTATAATGAATAAACGAAATGGTACAATAAAGCAACACTCATTCATGTATAACATGCTTAGAAAGTATAAAGAGGAGAATTAAGACTACCATCCAGGCTAAGTGAAATGCTCAGGGCAATTAACATAAACAGATAAGATTTCATCCATGGGACTTCAATGGCCATAGCTAACATATGCCCGAGCCTATGCAATGATCTACACTACACTTTTACTAGGAGTGCATCCAATCCAGAAAAGTCAAATATTGGAACAAATATTTCAAAGGTACATAAAAAAATGGGGATAAAGAATGTATGAATGACTGAAGCTGAAAAAAAATATATCATACCTGCATTCCACATCGGAACTACTGCTCCTTAGGAGCCACACGAGGTGATTCATCCATAATATATTCCATATCTTTTGATGATTGAGCTACTGGCTGCTGAGTTACATGAGACCCACCCTTCGTTACCACAATGGTTAACAATGTGGGACTGGCCTCACAGGTCGAATCCTTAACAGAGCCTGGCAGCTTTTCCTCCTGAGGCACACCAGGTTGTTTCCCTGGAATCCCTGCTTCTCAAGATCAGGTTCAGGTAAATTACTGGAGTGGTAACTAACTCTGGTGCTAGTCTCATTTGAACCTTCATTCTGCCTCTGATTGTTCAAAAAGATTTAATTCCGCGAATGTTCCCCACACCCTCACTGCTGAATTCATAAACATAAAGAAAAAACCATCAAAACTGACAGCCAGTCAATCAAAACCCTAGGGATTACTTAATGATTTACAAGTAAAATTGCAAAACGCCAGCCTTCAACCTTTCAAACTATGCTTAAAACAGAATACAACAGACAGTTCCGTCGTTCAATTACTTCGATTCTAGACTGCACACTATCAAAACAAAACCAACCAATCAGAGAGAACCCACTAACAAGATGCACTACTTAAAATTCCAGCTTAAAATTAGCTCAGAGAACAAAAAATATCGGTAAGCAGTGACAGAAAAAAAAACATGTACAAAAAGGAGTAAAAGAGGTTAAAATTTCCTTTATAGAAAAGTAAGGAGCGTGGACCTGAAGAATGTTTGCTTCCTTTGAATCACTGACGAGTTTGCTGCCAGTCGATAGTTGAACAAACAACAACCACAATATTAAGAAGAAGAAGAAGAATACGGTAGAGAAACTAAAGATGATAGTATTTTTTTCCCCACAAATAACTTTATGAATTAAATAACGACGAATTGGATTAACCAACAGACGAAGAATCTCCAAAAAATGAGAATTGAGATTTTCCTGTTTGGCGTTTCCTTTTTCTCCTCTTGAAAAAAAAAATCCATTGAACCGCTTGTTATTTTTCAACTTTTTTTCCATCTTTAATAATTAAAAAAAAAATCAATCCTAATTAAATGATCTATTTCAGTTTTTAAAAATATTATTAAGTATTATTGATTTTAATATCATATTATAATAAAATATTTGATATTTTATTTTTTACCCTTGAATACATGTTAAAGAGTGTCTCAAAGAGAGAGAAAGTACAATTTTAAGTACTATATAGATCATAATGTTTAATTATTTAATGTCAAGTGATCGTTCAATTAAGAATTTGATGATAATAAAAATCGAATGATACAATTGAAAAATAAACGAGAAAATAAAGTAGATGTTTGGATGTAAAATCAAAGTTCAAATCCTTAATTGTTCATTTTATCCTTTTTGTTATCATCATACCTTTAATTGGATCTCGTGACATTGAAAGATAAATCGTGATAAGCGGCTAAACTCTCGACATAACGTTATTGAACAAATTATTTCACGAGATAATGCTCTCTCAAGATTAATTGCTTAAATAGAGTGAAATCTACAGTGTTTTTCGTAGGTCGGCATGCCTTCCGGGCGACCTACTACGTGGCCAGCCATGCACGTCCCCAAGCATAGGTCGCCATGCCCTCTAGGTGACTTTATAGGTCGCCATGCACTCCCTCTTGCTCCTCGCGTGATTCCTCTTGCCCTCGCATAGCTCGCTCGGATAGCCTCAGTCGGATGCCCTCGGTCGGATGGCCTCGGATGCCCAGCGTGTTGGAACGTGCATGGCACATGCAATCTCTCTCATAGTTCGCCGGGAAGACATGGCGACCTAGTAGGTCGCCCGAATGGCATGGCGACCTACGGCTAACACTGTAGATTTCACCCTATTTGAACAATTAATTTTGGGAGAGCATTATCTCGAGAAATAATTTGTTCGAAACGTTATCTCGAGAGTTTAGCCCACGATAATCATTTTAGTTCCACACAATGTTTGGATGATATCTTTTTTCTCTAAAGCGTCTTTCGAGATTCGTAGGAGATAAAAAAATTGGGCATGTCAAGGCACTAATGCACTGGGTATTATTGGTATTGCGACAACCACTAATGACAGTAATAAATTTAAAAATACTTTTTTAGATGAATATATATATATATATATTAATCATATAATTTTTTTATATAAAATAAGTATAACTATTAAAATATATAATTATTTGAAAAAAATTGAATTTCAAGATGAACGAGAACTCAACTCGAATCCTTAATTAATATGCCACTTGTTATTGACGGTGGAAGAACCTTAATTAGGTATCAATTATCATCGCCAACCTTGAAGAAGCGGAGGGCTGAGACTTCTCACCACATTAAAGAAATTAATTTGAAGGCTATCACTAAGCAGTAGGTATAATGTTAAACTCTGCACTTCTTTATTATCAACATTATCTAAAGGGTAAATTTCAAATTTCATCCCTCAACTTAATTATCACTCCTATTTTAGTCATTAAAATTTTAAAAAAAATCAATTTACTCACTAAAATTTTAATTTATTCTTATTTGATCACTCGGTTGTTAAATACTTAATAGCGTAATCACTGTTAAAAGGTATGCAATGTCTCCAAAACTTTATTCATTTTTGTTAAAAAATAGTTTTGAATTTCATTTGCTTTCTCGATGATAAGACGTCTTCTTCCAAATCTCAACCATAGGAAAGTGGATAAGAGGGAAACGAGCTATATATCTTGATTCCATGTTGATCAGTTGGTGGGTATAATAGATTAAAGTGATTTGGGTTTTATGTTTTTAGACTTTAGGGTTGAGTTTTAAATTAATTTTGATAAAATCTAAACTGATAAAATGGTAGGAGACAATGAAGGTATTGATATCTTGAGTGGTCGGAGAAAAAACAGAAGAATGATAATTACAATGTTGACCTATGCAAAGATGAAACAATAAAATTTTATATTTGAAGAAAAATGATAAATTTAAAAAAAAAATAATGTGGATCTTATGTGGATTTCAGGTTAATAAAAAACAATCCACATCAACATGTATATAGTATGTTATCCTTCCCTTTATGATTTTATCAAAGTTACAGTAAATCAATAATAAAAATTTGAGTAAAAAAGTTAGTAAATTACACGTTTAGTACTTAAATGATTAGTTTTGGTTCATTTTAATACCTAAACTTTTAATTTTGTCAAAATCATACATAAAGTTTATTTTTTTCATTTTAGTACCCTTGTTTAAAATTTAACATGAAAAAAATGAAAGTTTAGGTATTAAAACGAACCAAAACTAATAGTTTATGTACTAAACGTGTTGAGTTTTAAATGGCAGGGTTCTAAATTGAAATAAAAACCAAACGTTAGGTATGGTATTGAAAAAATTAAAAGTTTAGATACTAAAACATACCAAAACTAATAGTTTACCCTAAATTTTACTGCATAAACCTATACAAGATTGATGATTCACGTACCATAGTCAACGCCAAACCAGGCCCAAGTAGTTCTTTCAAGCCCCAGTGGTGTGATCCTACAGGAAGGCCCGGTGAGACATAAGAATGCAAGCCATCTGGATTTGTTCCATGATTGCAGCAACAGCTAGAATGACAGCTTTGCCTGCTACTGTTACCACAATGATCCTTCCCCTTCAAATCTCTTGAATGAAAATTAAAAAGGTTAAAGAGCGTGAGAGTGACAAAAGTGTATATATATTTATATCTGTAGGAGCTTAACCATTTTTCAAGTAATCCTTCTGCTTTGATCCGGGAATAAATTAAAATCCTTGAATTGCCATGGAAGGCACTTCTTTATTCCATATCAAACACTACAGTTTTGGCCCTTCGGCTATTCTTATATGTAAATGTTTTTCAGTTTCAGCTCCGACCCCATCTCGCATTTGCCTGCATTTCTTTATCTCTTCATTCCCAAGCCCAACTTTGTTTTTCCTTTTTCTTTGTGTTGCTAAATAATGCCTCTGGAATCAAGCAAGCCTGGCCGGTCATCTGTTGAAGGAGATAAGCATGGAGTACTCGACAAAGAAATCAAAGACATGGTCTCTGCCATAACTCGCCGCGTATGCGGTGTTCATGAACCGGGATCGAGCCAGGGCAGAGACGATGATGGTGTGAGGATCATCACACTTGCAGGAAGCAATTCCGGTGCAACAATGCGAAGCGAGTTGGATGAGAAATCCAGCAGCCCGCATGGGATTTCACTTGGCGAGCACGACACACTCAGTACCTATGTGAACAGCAATTTCCAAGCCGTTAACAACTCGATCATGCTCGGCAGCAGCTACAACACCAATGATCCCGGTGTCCATTTGGACATCTCGGATGTCGCCGAACAAGAAGGCAAGAAGTCAGCAGATAAGGACAGGAGAGGAAAGAAAATAGGCAAGGATTCCACCAAAACCGAACATTCCGATTAAGAAATCTTGTCTAAGCCAATATACATTGCATACAATAAATCTCTGCATTGCTTTACATTATATCAAAGATCATGTTTGCATGACAACACGTAAGGTAAAAAGTAAGTGAATTTGTGTATTCCCATAGTGTTATATGCTTCTTTCCGAATTGTGTGTTTGATCATATATCGTTTTGCTGAGGTGTCAACCTTATAATAATTAAGTGTTTGAACTTTCAAGTTCATACTTCTCCTTGTGTCTTTAATTGCAAGAACTAGACCAATTCTGATGATTTATCTTCTTTGCACATCACTAGTAATTATAATGGTCTATCAGATACCGCAAGGTCTACGAAATCCCGGTCTGCAATCTGGATTCAGCAGGACCGAAGAATGGCAAGTTTAGATCGTTCATTTCCAAGTTTAGATCGTTCATTTCCAAGTTGATTAACTTGAATGAAAGCTGCCATCATATATAGCTTAATTCAACACACTTAGAAGTCTTAAAACTGATTAAGTATACTGCTCGTGTGCTGGAAAGAACAGATTTGATGAAACGGTACGTCTGAAATATTAGGAACTAAGGTTGCTGTAAAAAAGTTTGTTTTTCCATGTGGAACCGACTTTGGAGGTGAAACTGAAAGCACATCAGATCAAACAATGGATATCAAATTTTTATGTTACTCTGTCACACTGTTTTACCATTAACCTCGTTCTCCAGATGGTATAAGCCATGAGGTTGTTATATGTCACCATAAGCCTCGTTCTCAATTTTCATTGATGAACTTTGTATATCATGGACTCTCAGTCCTGGAAACGCAGGTGCATCCATCACAAAATTGTTAAAAAAGTAAACTTTTTTTCCTGATTTCTTTGTTTGCGGAGCAATTGAACGAGAGAAGTTGAAACATATTTGGTGGTATTTAATCAAGAGGGTTATTGGAATACCACATGAATGGACTTAAAGAGTTAGGCGGCAGCAAAACGCTACTTGGTCTCGGAACAACTTGAATCGCAAGAAACCGTAATGACTGGTAACTGAGCCTCTTGTTCCCTAATCTCTTTGGCTTGTTGAGCATTTTTTGATGCACTGTTCTGCATCTCTCTGTTCTTTCCCCAAAGAAGAATATACAGTCCGAGGATGACGACTATCGAACCCAAGAAACTGTTCTTCGGAGTGGCGGGGATAAAAGTTAGCGATGAGTATACATCAGCTTGTAAGTAAATGAGCAAATGTATTATTCAGACAGGACATAGGATAATTAATTAACCTTCCAAGATTGAGTTGTTCACGAAGGATGGGGATATCAAACATGGCTGCCATTATCTGAACGAGAGGACTGAAGGCTGCCGTGAAGACCGGACCCCTCTTCTTGACACACCACGCCATGCAGACGAATGACAAGCCGGACCCTATCATTCCCTGCATAAACAAAACAATAGCGTGATAACCAAGGAAGAAGTCATGAGTTGGGCGTCAAAATCTTATGAAAAAGGTTCCAACAAGCTTTGTTCTCTGTGGCCAACATTTCTTTTCGGCTAATTAAATCCTTGGAAGCCATGGTTTTCAAGTGGTCCTTTAAGAAACAATAATGTTGTGTGTACTATATCTACAACCAGGAAATACAAAATTACAAGATAGATGCGTAGGATTGAAGTTGGAATCTATGACTCTCTTTTTTGTAAATTTTAATTGAATGGCAACTAGGAAAAAGGAAAAGATTTGCCATGTTAGCCTAGCCTACACGACAGCATATACCTAGGCCAGCCTTTCCTATTCCTCAACCAAAAACATGCTGTTGGGTAACCATCTATGTTTCTCGGACTCTTTATTTTACTGAAAATACGCATATCCGATACATATTCGACGGTTGAGCATAACTGTGTTGGAGACGTATCCATATTCGGCACTAATACCCGATTTCGGAGAACATAATTTAGAGCTCACCTTGTTATAGACTTCCTAGAATCAGTCATCCAATTTTTTTTTTTTTACATTTACACCTACAAGCGTACTTACTGCATAGAGGACAGTTATGATTTCAACTTTTCCCTTGGGTGCCCACATGGAAAGGTCCCTGTTCGTAAGCAAGCTGAAGGCAGCCGATTGAATTGCACCGAAGAACGACATGATTGCAGTGCTGGAGAATTGGCAAGGATATCTTCTTCCAACGTATGATTGAATGATAAACCATGAAGACCACAACAGGGTTCCCACTATAAGAGCTAAGCAACCGATGGTCCACCTTTCTGCCTTCCTAGAAGAGCTCAACTTGACGGCATTCGAGACGGTCGGAGCCATGGCATGTGAGTGCGGGTGTTTGAATAAGGGCCTTCCTTTATAAAATGTTAATAGCAGGGCACCTCCTACACAAATCACCGAGCCGAGTATTTTCGCTCTCCCGCTTTTGCTTTTGAGGTTCACGGTTTCGATCCTGCAGTATAAAGAAGGGACACCAAAGAGTATTGGTAACAAAAGTTTCCAACAACATGGTACCATTATAAGCAAGGAGTGATTTTCGTCAATACCGAAATGGTAATGCCATTATAAACGTGGTCACCGGCACTATGTTGACGAAAGCGCATGCGAATGTAGCGGATGTGTATTGAATTCCAAAGAGAAAGAAGTACTGCGTTAGTGAGGCCCTACAAGGAATCAAAAATTTAGATATGCCATTAATGATACTAATAATAAAGCAAGATGGAAATTCATGAATGTATATTTGAATATAAGCTAACCCCACGATTGCACTGCAGAAGAGGTAACATAAAATGCGTGGAGTGAGCTTCGGTCTGCTGTTCCTGCAACCAATCTTAGTGCTGAAACTAATGACAGAGGAGGGCTGAAGCTTAAAAAAACACTTAAAAGGGAAGGTAATGGGAATAATGGAGAGTGGAGAGAGCAGCTTCCTATACCTTTCCCAAAAGTATCCAATGGGGACCAAGAAAATTGTAGAGATTGACAGCCGGAATGTTATGAGAACCAAATGGTTCATCCCATCATCAAGGACTTTCTTAAGAAGAATATTCACCACAGAAAAAGAAAAATCAACTGCTATCATCACAATAAAAGGGTACCATTCATTACAGCTTTTCAATTCAGCCATTGAATCCACCACCAGCAGTCTAACGAGCCATGGTAAGGAAGGGGACGGGGCGGTGCAACCTCTCTTTCTCAGTCTGTTTGTTAACAAATTTTATTAGCAGTGCAACTGAGATAGATAGACTAACATCTGTAGAGCCCTAAATAGATGGAGTCTAGAATAAATGGGAAGAAAGCAAGATTAAATTCTTCAAATCACGTCAATGCTTTAAGCAACCAACTTTAGCAATAGTTTAATAAAATTATTCTCATCTCTTTTTTTCCACTTTCTTTTGAGTGAACCTACTGGAGATTAGCTTGGAATCCCTTTACCAGGTCCTGGCAATATATCGGAAAGCATCTATGCATGTCGACCGGCTTTTCTTTTTCATACATTTCTTCAAACCTCTAATAAGATTGCTCATTTTCTTCATATCATTCAAGATTTTTCCATCAGCAACATTGCAGAACGCATATAATTCATCGTATAGGGGAATATTCCGAATTCTGATTAGGGGTGTAGGAGAAATCGATACTCTTTATGCATGGCATCAAATACTTTAAATCTTTGAAACAAAGAAGAGAAGCATCACCAGACCCTACAACGTGGGAAACAAGAACAATATGTCAAATCTTCTGCACAACTGTAGTTTGAAGAGATGGTGATATGTGCAAGAACTGATATACCCTTTGATTTATTGAAGTGAAACAAATCTGATTATTTCCTCTTCGAACCTTTTTTATTTTCCAGTTTCACCAATCCAGATGCTCATTTTCTAGCGGCTGATTATCACCTTGCACAAATCAACTTAATAAAAAAATGCTCTTTTTCCCGATTAAGGATGAACATCTCTACCTCTGTTAGTCCAATCTCCACAGACTTTTCCCAGAATGTTCATCACTGCATTTAGTTAATCATTCTGCACATTGAAATTAATGAATTGCACATGCGCCATAACTTAAAGTTAAAGCAGCAATTAGCTAACATAATCTAACATTATAGAATAACATAGATTTAATTACTATGAATATTGTCATCTCCTCCCTCCAACTTTCCTTAAATTATGCAGAGATTGACAAAGGGACATTGATTCCTGATGTTAAAGACAACAACTTTGCATTGACAGTGACCACTCGTTTATCATCTTCAGAATCAGTCATCTGAAAAAGGGCCCCCTACCCTCTCCTTTTAACGATCTTATGCGATGGAATAACATAAAAATATGTTTGGGAAATAGCAAAAACTCTGCGATCCACTCGTTCACCCCCACAGACATTCTCTTGCAACTTAGAAAAATATGAGGGACGATTTTGACTACACTTTGTTCCTAAACTATTGTGCAAAAGTGTTTCAAAATTCTGTTCCTTTTTCCCTCTGCTCCACAGCTTTCATTGTTAAGTGTCGCCACTGGTTTTAATATACAGCTGTTGTCGACGAACGAACTTATGCAAAGGGAAGGTAAAGAATAATTAACTGGTGAATGCTGTTGTGCAATTTATAAGATAGAAATTAGAAAATGACTGAATTGTAGTATTTTAATCATGATGAATCTGCTGCGGTTGGCATACATCAATCAAGCACAGAGGAAACATACAGGTAGGGATCCCAAGGTGGAGATATTAAACAGGCCAACCTGGAGTTCAATCTGCCTACTTCACCGTACGTGAAATCGAGCAGTCAAATGATCGTTTTAATATCACTTATCGTCCAAAAGGCATATTTGATAAAATGTGTAGCACCATCACCTCTAAATTCCAAGATTCTTTTTCTTTCTCGATATGGAATCTATATCTTCACTTCCGGGGACGGATGTAGAATACAAATTTTTAATATAAAATATATAAAAAAAATCTAAAATATATGATGATTTTAAATTTTCCGGGGACAACCGTCTCCTACAGTCCATCCCTGCTCACTTCTCCAAAGCGCAACACATCTACTTGATGACGCTTGGCTTTGGACAGGATGATGCCATTGAACCACAATTTGATGTAATCACTAAAATACAATAGCAAGGAAGAAAACATTATCATGAATTCTATTGCAAGGTTTGAGATTCTAAAGTATAATTGGAATCATTTGGTAGTATTGGATGTAAATTAATGATGTTAAACTATTTAGTCGCCTAACTTTCAGAGTGTTTCTATTTTGGTCATCTAATTTTTATTTTTTTTATTTTTATCACTAAACTTTCGAATTATGTTAGATCGTATGATTCTTAATTTTTTTAATCTGATTAATATTCTTTTATATAAATTTATACAAAAAACCTCAAACTTGTATTTTTAGACTCTCTTTGATTCATCGACATCAAAGCATTTTTTTATTTGAATGGTGGACAGGTCAAGAACAAAGAGAAATGTAATAAATTTTGATTTCACATTATATTACAAACCAGATTAAGATAAAATTTAAACTTTGAGTAGATTTTTTTAATTTCAAGAAAAATTAAACTGAAAATAAGAAAGAGAGGAGAAATAAGAATATGTTAGTAAAGTTACATTATAGATGATAGTCGACGACTGATGAACGGTAACGAAGAAGAAGGTCAACAATGAAGAATAAAAAGGCTAAAACTTTTTAGCCAGTTTCATAAAATAAAAAGGCTCAAACTCAACAATGTTTTGGTGTTTCCATTAAACACTTAACAGTTGAGTGATCGAAACGATCAACAATTGAGTGTTGCTCATTAAGGCTATATTGCAGCAAGGGGAATCTATAATACCCATAATCCGTATACATCTCAAAATACCAGTTAAAGATGCTACATCAACTTTGCAGACATTCATTGGTCATAGACACTTAAAAAATTGTTTCATTTCAAAAACTTTCCTTTTTAACTTTAAACTATTTCATCAATCGTGTAAAATCATAAAATAATATTTAAACGTTTAAAACGAATCCAGTTTAATTAAATATTCATAAACAATTTAAAAACTTGCCTAAATATTGTTTAATTAGAAAACCATTTTAAAAATATAAACGTACCTATATATATTTTATTCAATTACAAATACGAATATAGCTAGACTAATAAAAAATAAATGGTCGTAGTTTACTATTACAGACCATTTAAAACAATTATGATAAAGCAACATACATATATAATATACATGCCACTAATAAAAGTAAGATATCTACTAATATTAGGTATGATTTTCGGAAAAGATCTCAAGGGGCTCCTCACTTCACGTTTCTTTCTCTATTTGAACCTACGCATGAAAATCATCATGGGCTATGTAAAACTTAGTGAGCAGTAACATAGCTAAGGTAAGAAAAAAAACATTAATATCATAATGTAATACAAAAATAAAACTGTGATTTAAACAAAAAGATGAAAACTTTTAAACAAAGCTATTTAAGCCATTTTCCTCTTGAAAACCCGAAAATCATTATCTCATGATTTTGTAAAAAAATCATATAAGTCAACATTAAATATAACAAAGAATTCTTATTCTTTTCATTCATACATATTTTAGAACTTTCGTTCCATTTCCATATTCTTTTCTTTCATATACTTGTAATAACTTTCACATTTACTTTTATAGCCTAATGTATATGTAAGAGAAGACAATATACATGAATCAGACGAGTATGTGCAATAAGCACTTCAGTGCTAACATCGAAATCAAAATACACACTCCAACTGCATTCATATCATTTGCACCAAATGGTGCTACATATAATGTACACAAATGTATCATATTATAATCATAATCATAATCACTCCACCTCATGGCATGTCAATTGTACCTACAACTCTCAATGCAACATACAATGAGATTTCAAAACATATCTTATTCGTTTCATAATCAATATTTCAAATTCATAATTATTATTATTTTATCATCGTCAAAATAGAACTTGGGCAGTTCATACCCTAAGTCATCCATAAAACATTTATATAAACATTATGGAAAAAAACCCATAATTAAAGTAGAAAACATACTTGAAAAATAATATGAGGTTAACTTATCGTAAGTCATCTTCGTTCAAATAAATTAAATAAATAAATTGTACTCACTTTGACACTTTATAAATCAACATTATAAGCCTCATTAAGTTTTAAATTTAGTCCTTGCATTCGATTACTTTGACTATAATTTATTTTCAAAATTTCATACTTTGGCAGTTTGTACTACCTTCAAAGAAGTATTATTCTGTATTAATTTACATACTTAAAAAGTATTCTGTTTGTACCTATAGAAACTGGACTCAAATACGAATCTAACCATATAAGGCACTTCTCTTAGTTCAACTTGTACAATTTATAGCGAACTTTCAAAGCTGACTTACAGAAACTCTTTTGAGCAGAATTTGTTGCCCTGTTTTCTGACCTATCATTGATTAATAATTCATATCTTTTTGTGTACAACTCGAAATCAGTAGCCTTTTGTTTTAAACTAAATTAGACTGATATGTGAATCCAACGGTATAGAGATCAACCTCTAATAACTTTTGTATAATTTATGATGATTTTTTGAACTTACTGTTCAAATCAAAATTTCTAGGCAGCTTACCTTAATTAGCGTCCTTAGCTTATTCCATAATTCTATTAGCTTACCAAATGAATTTATATGCATGAATCACAAATCAAATAATATTTAGAAGTCATTTCTTACCATAGTAACTCTGTCACTGGCTCATCGCAAGCCAATGTTCGTTCAATAATATAAGTACAAATTAAATATGCACTCACATTTGCCACATTATTAAACCTTCTCTACAATAGTCTTCTCAATCCATCACTTTTTCCTTCCCTTTCGAGTTACTTGGATCACTAGATTTATCTTGGTCAGACGACGTCATATAATAACTTAAAATAATCAAATTATATGTTAGTATCGAACTAACATAATCTAAGCTTAAATATAAGATTCGATAGAAATAAAATTGATGCTTAAATCAGTATGAAACTAAATCGTATTTCCATCATAATTTCAAACTTCTCAAAATATTCATTCAATTCCAAAAATATTTATTGTCACCATAAACCCTTCAACTATTTCCAATTCCAAAATCAAGCCACAAATTATGAATTCTTTCTAGAATTCACCTTAACTTTTCCATTAACTTCATAATAGCCCTTCACCATTATGATCATTTCACCTTAATTACTAAAATTTCCAGCATCTTAATAAGATCCTCAAATCAATACTTTAACATTCACAAACTTGAAATTTCATCCCAAAGTTTCTTAGACTTTTCGAATTCAACCATCCATCTTTATAAACTTGTAATTAAATCCCAATTCAATATTTAAACTCAAAAAATCAACATACTAAATAAATTTCCAGCATTGTAAGTTCTTGTTAAAAATAATACCAACATATTTTTAAATTCACAAACAAGTCTCTATAATATCAAGACCTTTCGAATTCCACCACTAAATTTTACCAAATTTAAAATTTGATTCCAGCCAACTTTATAACTTAAAATTCCATCATTTCAATATTATAAATCAACATTGAGTTCCTTAATTAGCACATTTATACGTTAAGATCCCACAATTCCCAAAACTTGCTAAATAACCTTTTTACTATTTCAAGCTTCCAAATTGATCTCAATTGATCTCTAAATCACATAGAACACTTCTAATATCAATTCTAGACCATATGAAAATTTTCAACATTTCCCCCAATTTATTCCCTTATGGTCGAATATATTAAGTCCCCTAAGGCTTGATTTCCATTCAATTTCATGCATGAATTCAACTTCCTTACATCAAATTCATGCTATTCTAATCATCACAACTTCACACTACATCAAAATCTCTCAAGTTTTACAAAAACTCTAATATGGCCGAATGATGTATAAGCTTCTACACATCATTTCAATTATCACACATGCCTTAGAATTAGTCTCCAACCTCAAAAACATAATAATCCTTCATTATTTCTTTAAAATCCATAAACCCTACTTAAACCCTAATTTCCAATCTCTTAAAATAATTATGATCACCATGTAATATTTATACCAAATGATAGAGAATTTAATATAGATTAATTCTCTATCTAATAGTTTAATCCAAAAATCAATCGAATAAGCATGAAAATAAATAAAAAATTCTTACCTAAATGGCTATGGAGGTTCGGCCAAAGCAAGGAGAAGTAGGTGAATATTCCTTTGATTTTTCTTGTAATTATCAATTAAAACACTTGGCACTATTCTAATAAAATTGAATTTATGAGAAATTTCAATTTTACCCTTAATGAATCATAATAATTACCAATTGCCATTAAAATATATTCCATTAAAATATCCTATAGTCAAAGATGAACCAATTTGACTTTGACTTTCTAATTTTCCCATGCAATTTTCAAAAATTACATTTTAGTCACTAAAATTCCACTGTTCGAACAAATCTGAAAAATTACACTAATATGAGCTAAATTTCTCAAATATAAAATGTGGAAATAACATTTCCAACCCTTAAATAACATCCTTCAAATTTTTGTGAAATTATGACTCAATCTGATTATCCGATTTTTATATCGAACTTTATCGCTTTATAACTTTTAACACAAATCTCGTACCAAAAATCTGATTTCCATGAAAATTATTGTTTTAGGTCAAACTGTTCATTAACGAGCTAAAATATATAATTTTTAAAAATTATATTTTTTATCCCTGGACTTTTCAAAATTTATACTTTAACCACCAAACTTTCAAAACTTACATTTTAGTCACTAGTCAAAATTTGGGGTATTACAAAATCTATTTGGGTTGCCTGAGTTCATGAGTATGTTCTGAAGGTCTTTTGGCGGATACAAGCTTGTTATAGTCATAATTATGTTCGGAGGAGGCTGCTTAGTTGGGGAAATTTGTCTTAGCTACACTTGCGATGGATCCTAAGGTGACTTTGCAAAAGGTTTGGGATGCTATTAGGCTGAGTGCTTTGGCATAGGTTGGTTTGGCATGCTTTTGCATAGGTTGGTTTGGCATGCTTTCCATATACCTAAGCATTCTATGGTTACATAGATGGTTGTTCTTAATAGGTTGCCAACTAAGTACATATTGTAGACCTTTGGGATTCAGGTGGAGGAGTTTTGTGTGTTATGTGGAAGGGAGCTTGAATCTAGAGATTATAACTTTGAGTGTGTCTTCTCTAAAGTGGTTTGGTTTGTTGTTTTGAGTATTTTTTTCGTTTACAGAGGAGAATCCTTTGTTAATACTTGAGATTCTTTTGGTCTGTGAGGATTATGAAGGGTAAGTCCTTGCTTACGATTATTCTGCAGGTGGCTTGAAACCCCCCTCAATTATTTTGTTTGGAGGGGAGGAAATTTAGGGTGTTTCAGGGGATGCAGACACAGTTACAAGATGTAGTGAGAAATATCGTAGAGATTGCTAGATATAGACTCTTAGACAAAACTACAAATAGAGGTAACTTAATTAACTTTAATCTCTCTATTGAATGAGGGTGATATAGTTAATTGTTTTTCTCTATAAAGGGTGTTGGTCTGGTTATGATGTAATTGGTGCCTCTTTGTTACTTTCGGATAAATAAAAATCGTATTTATAAAAAAAACATAAACACATTGAAAGTCGAGTCGCTAAACATATAAGTAGTCGTTAATGAATTAGATGACGTGTTATATTTCAAGCCCAAAAGGAAACCCTAAGGATTTGAATTATATGTTAGATGTTGTATATAGAGGCATTTAAAAGGCTTAGGGTTTTAACAAAGCTTATTCATCTACTCGAAGTCGCCAAAGAGTGAAGGGTATCAGAGCTAGAGAGCTAGAAAAATGAAGACCATACTTTCCTCAGAGACAATAGTGTTGACGAAAACGGGTAAAGAAAACAAAAGAACACGAGAATTTTACGAGGTTCGGCAATGTGCTTACGTCCTCGGTGCCTAGGCGGCGCTAGAAGTTTTATTCAATGATATTTTAGGTCTAGGTTACATCTCTATTTATAATAGAAAACCCTGGTACATAATTACAAAATCAACCATGTACCGTACCGCGGGGCACAACCCCCGCACCCCCAACCCACATAATTCGTAACCCCACAACGAGACTTTCTTTGTAAGGACAGTTGATGTTCACTTCGCTCACTCCGCTCCATCTCCTGTCCTCTTTACTGGTATATTTATGAGTCATACCTAACAAATAGAAATCCCCGGTGGAGTTAACATCAAGGTGAAGGCCAAGATGATAGAGGTTGAGGGCCCTAGGGGTAAGCTCACCTGCAACTTCAAGCACCCCCAACCTCGACTTCCATTTCACCAAGGACGAGGAGACCGACAAGTACAAGCTCAGGATCGAGGCCTAGTTCGATACTAGGAAAATCAGCGCCGCCATCTGCACGACCATCAGGCACATCGAGAATCTCATAACCGGCGTCACCAAGGGCTACCGTTACAAGAGTAGGTTCATCTACGCTCACTTTCCCATCAACGCCTCCATCACTAACGACAACAAGTCCATCGAGATCCGTAACTTCCTCGAAGAGAAGAAGGTCACCATTCTCTCTCACATTCCTTCCTTTATTTAATGTGTTTTGCTGCATATTTATTATGAATCCAACACTCGTTATTGATGTAGATTCATTTAAGCTTCTTTTTTTTCCCTTTGAACATCCGATCTCTATTTCTTGCCTTCATTTTTGGGGTTTTAAAGTTTCTTAAATTAATGTATGGTTTTCTATTACATCTTTTTGAGATGACATATTCCCATCAGATACCCTATAAGCTTGTCATTTTGGATGCCTGATAACTTGATAAAAATTACCTTCTATGTTGTTTGCGCTTGCTTTAATTTTATTATAGAACCGATTCATGTGTGATTCTCTTGCTTAATGTCAACACCGGTTATTGAAACTTGAAATTCTTATTGACTTTGTTTGCTGATGTATAGAAATGGGCAACCTTCGTTTTTTTTTTCTTTTTCACCCTAAAATGTTTTTGTTCAATGGTTAAGGAACCTTGTTTACTCCGGAATCGTCTTTCTATTATTGATTCTCTTGCTTAATGTCAGCACAGTTCATTGAAACTTGAAGTTCTTGTTTACTGATGTATAGAAATGGGCAACCGTCATTTTTGTTCACTCTAAAATGTTATTGTTCAAGGGTTAAGGAACCTTGTTTTTGCTTACTCTGGAATTGTCTTTCTATTGTTGTTTTAGGTGTTCGGGATGTCTCTGATGTTTCTTTCACATTATATTTATACGACTCTGTTCTTCTACTGGTGAAACATTAGGTGCGTAAGGTGGATATGTTGGAAGGGGTTTCCATTATTCGATCCGAGAAGGTCAAGGATGAGATCGTTTTGGATGGTAATGATATCGAACTTGTGTCACGATCAGCGGCTTTGATAAATCAGGTACTCTCTCGTGCACCTTATGCTAATATTTTCCAATGTTCCATGACCTGACCGTCAAAACCTTCATTTCGGCCATGTGGAGAACAAGGATATTGGGAAGTTCCTTGACGGTATCTATGTTAGCGAGAAGGGCAGGATGGCCGAAGAGGAATGATTATGATTATTATCTCCAGTTGAATTTTTGGGGTACTGCTTTATTTCAATGCCTTGGTAAGTTCTGGGTACCTTGGTTTTCGTTGCTTTACCCTATTTCCCTGGATTACAGATGCCGAGTACAACGATGTTATCTTTATCAGTTTGGAAAATTTTGATTTTCTGTTGTGTCTTTGTTACTAAATGAAATGGATGAAGATACGATGAGTAAAGTAAATCAGCTTTTACCACAAAATTAACTCGAAAAGCTCTATTAGAATTCAACAGAAACTGTCTTGATCAAAACTCAAGACTACATAACAATTTTCAGTGGCAATATTGCCATTTATTCAGCAAATATTTGAAGTGGAAGCCGACCACGCAAGATCAATGGGGGTCATGATACGTTTAGTGTATTACAGGGAGTTCTCGATGTCGATGACAAAGCGGTACTTAATCAAAACTCAAGACTACATAACAATTTTCAGTGGCAATATTGCCATTTATTCAGCAAATATTTGAAGTGGAAGCCGACCACGCAAGATCAATGGGGGTCATGATACGTTTAGTGTATTACAGGGAGTTCTCGATGTCGATGACAAAGCGGTACTTAACATCCCTCTTTACCAGCCTTTCAAGAGCTTCAGTGGCATACTGGATTGGTATTACCTCTATCTGTGGGTAAATTTTTTGAGCAGCACAAAAGTCTATCATCTCTTGAATTATTTTTGTTCCCCCTGTCACGCTTCCCGTAAAAGTTCTCATACCTGCAAGCCAAATGGTCAATTCAAGCAACTTAGGTTTGCAATTGATCAAGAGAGAACAAGTAGGTATAGTCATTGGTCGGGTTGGGTTTTTGGTCCAACCTAACTTAACCTGGAAAATAAACATTTTCATTAGACTTGACCCAACCTAGAATTTAGGAAGGATCTATCCAACTCAAAACCTGACCTGACTTTTAGGTTAAAACTTCTATTCGACCTGGCTCAATAGATATATAATTATGTCAGGTTAGATCTTTTTTCATCTTAAATTCAAACTCAATCAGACTCGGATCTGAATTTTTAAAATAAAAATATCAATATGATCGGATCGGGTTGAAATCCATTGGATTCAGATAGAATGGTCATCCCTGAGAACAAGGAAATCAACACAGAATATCAAATAGTGGTCTGTACCCAGATTAAGGCTTCCGGGGCTGAATCTGATTTCACTTGGGAACCCAACAAGGGCATAAACACCAGCGGGCCTCAGAAGTGACAAGTAGGGATCAAATGGATGATTGCCAGATGCAGTGTCAATTATAAAGTCCAACGATCTTGATAGGCTCTGCACAAAAAGACCATAAGCTCCAGTAAGGCCAGTGGTTGTGAATTCATTATAAATATTAACTTCTAAGATGTCACTCCTTAAATCTTTTACCCTCATCTGCCGGTGATCAGAAGAGACGACAAATTTGTCTGCACCAAGCAGGTTCAGGGCCTCCTCTTTCTTGGATATGCTTGTGCTAAGAACCGTTACATTCAACCCAAAAGCCTTACCAAACTTCACCGCCATGTGACCGAGACCGCCGAGCCCAATCACTCCTAAAGATTTTCCGGGTTGGTTCATGTTATGGAGGACCATTGGTGTATAAACAGTGACCCCAGCACAAAGCAGAGGTGCTGCTGAAGCCAAAGGATAGTCGCTTGGTATTTTGAAGCAGTACCTGTGTGATTCAACAACAAAGCTAGCAATTCAGCTTCATGCAATGGAAACTCAAACAGAAATTCAGCTTAGCATTTATTGGCAAATCTCAAATAACCTGCAAAGCAAGGATTACAGGCATATAGCATGAAATGCTTACCTTTCATGGACAACAATAGAGCTGGAATATCCACCTTTTGTGACAGTTCCATCCGCATCAATAGCATTAAACGTGAAAAGAGTCCCTTTCTCACAATGAACTTCCCAGCCATCATTGCAATACTCACAGTCTCTGCATGAGTTGATATAAGTTCCCACTCCAACCGGATCACCGACCTTGAACCGTTGAACATTCGAACCCACCTCCTTCACAATACCAGCAATCTCATGCCTGATATGGAAACAATTATATTAGCCAAATCAGCCTAAGATCAAATTCAGAAAAGCATTCATAATTCACAATTTTTAGAATATATATATGTGCATATACCCTGGCACCACAGGATAGTTTGAATTCCCAAGCAAATTCCTGGTCCAAACAACATCAGCATGGCAAACTCCACAATGAGTAATCTTTATGGAAATATCGTCACTTCCAACAGGCCTGAATACATTAAATAATCCGACGTCAACGAAGGATACTGAAAATTACTGCCTCAAACAAACAATATAGTCAGGCCAAGATCATGAACTTGGTATAAAGATTAGTTGTTTCCAATAGTCAAATGAATGACTGTTCTGTTCTGTGAAACTGGAAACAAGTTAAAATTGGGTTAATTGAAGGGTAGAAGAAAGACGAGTCCAACGCACCTGCGCTTGAATTTGTACGGTGATAAAACTCCAGATCGATCTTTAGCAGCCCAGCCAAGGCAATCCATTGCTCAACTAAACCACAATAAAATACACACACACACACACAGATTTATCAATGAAACAGAAAAGAAGGCAACCTCGTGGGATTCAAACACAGCGACATATGAAGTAGGAATGGATGGTTTAAGCAAAAGAAGGAAGAAAAAGAAGAAGCTTACCCTTTGTTTTGATTAAACTCCTGTATACAAAGTCAAACCCAAGGAAAACAAATGGCTTCGTGTTTCTTCTTCTCCAAGAAACTAGTAGTAGCCTATTTAACGACCGTCGAAAGGCGGCAGACGCGCTTCGGTCCAAGTCAAAGACGTCGTTCTTGAATTTCATTTTTCTATTTATTGTTATGATTTTTCTTCAAAAGTGCTTTTAAAATGTTGAATATGCACCGAACCAGTTTCTGGAAACTTTAAAAGGTCAACTTTATGCTAAAACATCGAGAGAGGCATTAAATTTGCAGCGATTAATTCTTGTCAAGTTTTGTAATTACGCAACAAGAAATGATCTTTTACCTTCAAACAAAGTGCCACTGGGTTAGTTAATATCTTTTTACATAGAATTTCCACTCCTAGATACAGTTTTCTTCACCAATCAACCAAACTTGATAAACAACAGGTTGAAACAGCACATATTTCAGCATATTGCCTGATAAAATTGTTTGTCTCAAGTCTTAACTACGGGTGAATATTCGATTTTGTCGAGTTATGTCAAATAAAAAGTTTTGAATTAATTGAGTTGACAACTTTTGTTTTATAACTCGAACTTCATTTAAAAAATTTCTGAATCAAATTTATGAAATTCAAGTCGAATTGTTAGAATTTATGTTTAAATTTAATTATAAATATTCATAATATTATGTTACTAATTGACCACAGTTTAAATGAACTTTTATAATCATATACAATATAGATATACATTTCTTCATTTTTTTCATAAACAATATACATTTATCGTGCAAAGTTAAAAGACACAACTGAAACTTGAAAATAAATTTCAGATTATTCAAATTATTTTATAACTCAAATTTATTTAAAACAAATTCAAGTCGAGTTTTTTAATGTTAAATTAAATAGAAAATCAATTTTTTTCGAGTCAAATCGAGTTTTACTCCCGTCTCGACCTTCCAACTACAAGTCCTGTCATAAAATCCAATTCAAGTTTAAAGAAGATGAAGATAACCCATTATCAAATAACAGTCAGCAGAGACATGAAATAGTATTCAGAGATTCATTAAGTGATCGAATGGTCAAGAATGTTCATATTATTTCACTTTAGTAAATTTGAGTCCCGACACTTTCGTTGAAAATGTAATACCTCTCTATTTTAATAAAAAATTAGTATTAAATCTTCAGAAATGAAATGAGAAGCTATAGTGCCCAGTTTAACTCTAGAATGCACAAACATATAACCAGGTAAACATGCATATCATCAACTTTCAGTTCATCAGATCAGATAAAAACTCACCACATTTGTGTTCAAAAGATTCTAATGAAATGAAAAAGATATTGCAGGTGAAGTTGATTGCAATCTAAGAACCAGGATAAATTATTTCTTAATTTTCTTGTTTCTCTTAGCAGAAGGCTTCTTGGTATGAAGTTCAAGCTCCGGAACTATCTCTAATTGGTCCGTCCGAGGTTCTTCAAGCAGCGTACAGTGCAAAAATTTCTTGTTCGACCTGACTCAGTTGCAAAACAATTTTAACAACTTTCTTCCCCTCATCCATTTGAGCATTATCTTCATACGTGGCTTGCTGTTCAATCCATCAATACCGGCTTCCTGTCATTCAAACGAAAAGCATCATAGTTAGAAACAAGAAGCTTGTACTAATATGCAGATTAAGCATAGCCTTCTATTCTCTCATTATAAAAGCTTTTCCCTTCTTTCATCAAAACGTCCAGCCGACACAATAAACGCAATGCAGAATCTTGTTAAACCAGCTCGATTAATACCCAAATTTGAAGCCACTAACCAGTGCATGGCATCGAAATGAAAGCAACTGCGTAAAATATATGCAGTACCGCAATCTTATACAAGAAGATCGTATAAATATGCAGAATAAGCATAACCTGCTATTCTCTCCTTATTAGAAAAGCTTTTCCCTTATCTTATCGAAACATCAAGTGGATACAATAAATGCAATGTAGAATCTTGTTAAACCAGCACGATTAATGTCCAAGTACAAACCAGAGCACAACATCGAAATGAAAGCAACTTTGTATAATATATGCACTACCGCAATACGATACAGGTTTAATCTTCGAATGGGTTAAAATTCAACTGTCTTGATCGGCATTGCAGAGAACATATAGTAAACCTTTTCCGCATGTACAAGGCAATAATGGAAATTGACTATGTAAAAGAGCTCTCAATATTTCTACCTTAGTATATCTACTGTTACTCTCCCCCTTGCATACCCCTAAATTTCTAATATAAGTTCCTAAGTAATAATCAAATCATTAACAAATAAAAGTGTTCTCAGCCTCTCTGTAATTGTATATACACAATTCTATAAGTTTTGATATATCAATCAATGAAATGATGGCAAAAAAAAAATCAAATTCATAAAATAAACCTATCAAAGAAGGCAACAAATGCATGATGAAATCATGAAATGGAAGGCAAAGCTAAGACTTTCTACAGATAAGAAGAAGACCTGAGCGGCGGTCCAAGTGTTGGGAATGGTGAGAGGGCCACGTTACTCGAGGAGGTCGTAAAGTGAACCGGCGAGGGATTTAGCTTCTTGAATGGGTATCTTTGGGTTAATATTTCTCACATTCACTGCCCTACTCCTCGACATGCATCGAACCAACACACTCCCACCGACGCCGACATTCCCTCCCTTTAGGGTGTTCTTTCCAACCCCGATAACCACATCTTCCCTTCTCTTTCTTATTGCTCAAAGGCCAAAGCTTTCTTCCCCGACTTCCTTCTTTTTTTCTCTGCTTCTCCTATTCGATTTAAGGGTTTTAGGAAAGTCTAAATTATAAAATAATAGATGCCCAATTTTTTTTTAATCATTAAGGTGTTTAATATTATAAATGTTATTATTTTAGGTGTTCGATACATAGCGACCGTTGTCATCACGTGTTACACGTTGGTAATTTTAATTTTTTTAAATATTATATTTATTAAAAAACATATTTTTAAATTATAAAAAAGCTCCAAATATCTATATATCATAAATCTCTAATCCTAACTTCTCTTGCCGGCCACGACCACCGTTGTCGACACCCCCTTGCCATCTCATGGTCATTTGTCGCCTCCCTTATCGTCGTGTGTGTCATTCAATCATATGGGTGTCACGAATTTGAGGGTTTGAGTTCACTAGAGGCACGATTTGGGTGCGACTTTTCTGATTCCTTTGTCAGAGACACGATGTTTATGGTCGGTTTGGCTTTTCGTAGAGTGGAGGTCGATTGACGTCAAATGGCGACGGCCAACGTGGGTTTAGAGATTAAAATTAGAGTTTTCAAAGTTTGAGTTTTTTTCTTTAGTTTTAAAAAAATGATTTTTAATATATAATCTTATTTTTTAAATTAAATAAAAATTTAAAATTACTAGAACGTGGCATATGTCACTTAACGATAGAATTTAACGGTTATTATGGTCTGAGCACCTAAAGTGATAACGTTTGTAACGCTAGGCACTGGATAATTCAAAATAAAGTTTGGACACATATATAGGAAAAGCGGTATAGTTTAGACATTTATTTTATAATTAAGCTTTTAGGAAACCAGATAGGTAGGAGAGGGCGTGTAAAATTGGCCCAATAAACCAAGCTGGTAAAAAAATTAGCCCAATAGGCTATCTCAAAAATTAATTTGAGATCTATGGAAAATGATACAATGCAGAGAAAACTCGTCCTGCCCACAAGATGAGTTTTTTTAAAAAATATTTTTTATTCAAACTCATCACATCGAAATGACGAGTTATAATAAAATATAAATTTTTATTAGTTTTTTTGTCATATCAAAGTGATAAATTTCAATAGAAAAATATATTTATTAGATTTTATCACTTCGACGTGATAAGTCTCAAGTAATTGCAGCAAATGTCGTAATTATAAAATAAAATATATGGTGCCATATTGGGTTAAATAATTAGCTCACCTATAGTATTGGGCCACTATTTTCGGCCTTTGAAATGCGCTAACAGTGCCTGCTTGCGGCAACTCTATTTCGTTCTAATTGGGCCTGGAGTTTTCACCATCCTCTGGTTTCATAAACAAATCCCAAGCTCAATGGTGGCTTGTCTTTATCACTAATAATTTACTTGTAATTAGTTCAAAATAATAATATAATATTTAGTTCCTTAAAAAGATTATTATTATTATTATTATGAAATAATTTTTTATGAAACTTATATTTATGTTAGTTTATGAGTATTTCCTCCAAGAATAATAAAACATTTTCTATAATAATGTTTTTTTTTTTTTTCTCAAAAATATCATATTTTTTTAGGTATTAGACGATTCATTTCCTTTAGGATTATAATGTCCTTAAAATAACAAATTAATTTTAAAATAATAATTATTTTGTGCATTATTATATTGATATAAATCTATTTTATTTTTTTATTGTTGTGATTTCAAATTTATCAATACTTATTATAAAATAATATGATGCATGCAAAATAAAAAAAATTATTTTTAAAGTATTTCTCATATATGCGTTTGATCAAGATTTATTATTTTTTTGTATGTGTTCTAAGGTCTTTATTTTTTAGGATTTATTTTTTTATTAATTTTATTAAATAATTTGATATAATATTTTATTATGTAACTCATCCACATAATATAAATAAATTAAAATATAAAAATAAACATATTTATATTGATATTTAATTACAATATTTTATTCAATTAAAAATTATATTATTATTTAATTAAGTAAACTAGATTTTATAAAATGGATACGATCAATGGTTAATATTATGTAGGGGTGTTTAAATCCGGGTACCTGGTTTTATGTACTCGAAGTATCGGGTATAGGGTTTTCGGGTATTTGATTTTTTTTGGCTCGTATCCCGACCCGGATTTTGCGGGTACCCATAATTCAGGTAATCGGGTACCCCATTTTTTATCATTTTCAAATTGTTAATTTTTTTAAAAAAATAAACTGATATTATTAAAAATTCATATTAATTATCCAACACACAAGTATTGAGTGGATGGATTTTTTTTATTAGTTTAATTTAATATATAAAATTATTAATAATTAAATATATAATATTATAATTTATAAACAAAATAAATGTAAGCGAGTATTCGGGTATTCAAAAAAATATAATTTTATGACCTAGGCCTGACCCAAAAAACATCGGGTCGGGTATCTAACCCAATCAAGTAATTTTTTTTAAAAAAAATACTTGATTTTTTAATTCGATAAATTGACCGATCAAATCAATCGGGTGGATTATTTTTGAACATTCTAAATGTTATGGATATATTAGCGATGAAATCTTGTATATGTGGCGATGAATTGAAAAAGGTTGTGTTCATCATTGACTCACATGTCACGTCACTGTTCCATTTCTCATTATATTGAGATGGAATTTGTATAATGTACATTATGCGTAATAGTACATTAAATAATTAATTAACGGGTAAATTCAAGGTTTAGTAACTAAACTATTAGTTTTAATCCATTTTAATACCTAAAATTGTATTTTTTTCAAAAGCATACTTAAAGTTTAGTTTTTGTTTCATTTTAGTATATATTCGTTAAAAACTTTAGTTTTTGTTTCATTTTAGTATTCTGTTCAAAATTTAACGTTAAATTTTGAAAGAATTGATAGCTTAGGTACTAAACACGTTAAGTTTTCAATGGCAATGTACTAAAAAAATAAAAACTAAACGTTAGGTGCGGTTTGAAAAAATTGAAAATTTAAGTATTAAAACGGACCAAAATTGATAATTTATGTACGAAATGCGTATTTTACCCTTAATTAATTAATACACAAAAGCACATAGAGGTGGGGCAGTTTAATCAAATCTTTTGAGTTGTCTTCTATAATTTTCATTTTGCCACCATTACTCTGCTGGTTATGTATTTTTGGTCCATAGTAGTTACGGGTTGACAGATGTGTTTTCCATTACACATGATTGGGTGGATTTAGAATTTAGGTTGCATTTTCCTTTTATTATAGTAAAAGATGAGGTAATAAATGATATTTAAGAGAGACAATTAATTCACATGTCCTTAAACTTTTGAACATTTTACTTTCATCCTGAATTATGACTCTCCTTTTAAATCGATCCTCAAATTTTTAAACATTTCAACTTCATCACAAACATAGGTATATATACTAATCACATCTCTTATTAATAAAATTGTTAGGTCAAACTGCATTATTATATGTTTAAAAAAATGGGTTAAAACTTGAAACTAATTACATATTTAATGAATTTTGGGATAAACTTGGAAGATTCAAAAGTTTGTGGATTAATTTAGAACGAGAATTATAGTTTGAGAGTGGAATTAAAATATTTTAAAGTTTATGAATTAATTTCAAATGATAATATAATTTGAAATGAGAGAAATGGTTTAGAGACATGTGATTCAATTAACTATATTTAAAATAAAATATTCAGAGCATGAATCAAGCGACCTCGGTGGTTAAGATATTTGTTGTTATCTCTTGAGATCCTAGGTTCGAGGACCGCATTTGTCGAGGGTATGAGCTTTCATTGTTAGATGGTCGAGAGTCTTTGAACAAATACTATCTTATAATATTAATGTTAAAAGATAAATTTATATTATCATATTTTTATCTTAAATATCGATTATTTCCATGTAATTTACTACAAAAATCATGTAAAAACATCACACCAACACTTAACCGTGAAAATGGACAAAAACTTTAACAGATTGATCATTTTACTCACACATCACGAATTGTATAATGACCATTTTGTTCTTCAATTAAATGACTAAAATGCAACTTAAGATATAGTACAAAAACTATTATATTATTTTACCATAAATATAGATATCAAACCATTAATGTAGGAAGAGTGGACGGTAGTGGACAGAAACAATTGGAAAAGGAACTGACGGATTTAGAAATATTTTTTAAGATAGACATATATATATTAATAAAAAAAAATTTGCATGAGGTGGACACATTCGATAAAATAAGTAGCCTAAAAATGTATTAGCGGGAAGAGGGGGACAGATATTAGTAGGGCATGCACATGGTTCATGTTCACTTGTCCCCGTTTCCATGTGCTTACCCCTAATCTTTTCCTTTTGATTCCCCAAAGCAATGTTAAACGGAGTTGGATGACTACTTAGTGGGAGATTTGATGGTTGCATCAATGTATGTCTCCTTTTTTTTCATCCCTCTCGAATTAATGGAATTTTAAAAGTTTGAATAATCGATATTTTTTGAATCGATCATTATAGAACACACATGTAACTTTATATGATTCTTCGATTCATCTTTCGTTTTAAGTATATTTTGACCAAATTTGTATTACATCTTTCTCGATCACTATAGAATACACATGTAACTTTATATGATTCTTTTTTACATTAATTTTTCTTTTTTAAATCAATCTCTTAACTTTATACTATATTCAATTTGGTCTCCGACTTGAACACTTTATAATATTCCCCCATTAATTGTGACTCATTTATATTTTCATCAATATTTTGTCCTCAAAATCACTTCTCTAAAAGATAACACTATAAGTATGTGATTTTAGATGATATCTGATCTATTAGATAATATTACACATCTTACTTATACGTGTGAAAAAGATAATATATATATATATATATATATATATATATATATATATATTATATATATATATATAACGAAATTATTTAAATTGAAACCAAATATCATACTATTATAAATAATTATAATTAAATTTGAACAAAAATTATAATAAATATATTTGACTCGACTTTACTTTAGTTTTTTAAAGAATCTATTTACATAATAAAACGATACTCA